GAACTGTAATAGTGAACAATATATAAACTTACACAGAAGCCAGGCCCACACTCCTCATATCAGTTCAAGTGACTGTTTCATATATAAGCATGAGTCAAGTACAAGTTGCATATTGCCAGAAGATACAATATGTGTTTAAGTATTTGTGTCTAGTATAGAATAGTTTTGAATATATTTACTTAAATAACCCTTTCTCTAGCCACATCTGAAGAAGAATTGTTCTTCATCTTCTAGAACAAGACATTTTTTACATACTCTGCTCTCTAGGGTTTTTTCTTGGTCTTCCTATTGCTAGTTCAAAGTTATGCTCACACAATGATCGACTTGGTAATTGAATGACGCCACCAATCATATTAAGATGACGTCACGTTTCATAAAGTCAGCAGAGAAGAGATAAAATTATGCTGAAAATACAACAAATAATTGGTACAATCAGATATTGTATCTGGAATGTTTCTTGAGTCTTGACAAAGACTACCCGTGGGGTTCATTTTCAGAAAAAAAAAGTTTTGATTCTATGTGAGTTATATTTGAAAATAGAACACTAAACCCGCGATGAGATTTTTTCTATTTTTCGGTCATGATTAGTAACCAAATTCCTACACCATATCACAGGCTAAGAAACTTGCTTTTATTTTCAATAGTTGACGTGCCAATTGAAACAAAACGTTTTGCTTTCTTTAAATACCATACTGAACTGCAATTGTATATCTACACTTTTCATATTACATATTACAGTTATGAAAACCAGAAATCAACATTTAAACATTCTTATTATTAACCCCTTCAAACTCATCCAAACTTGTGTCGACGAACGTCGTGTTTACTGATTTTCTGATATATTTACGTTGAGGTCATCGTGTACTCTTAAAATGTTCCTGAAAACAATACTATTTGGTGGAAATGCTAGTAAATATCTCTTTTCTTATACTGTCAGAGGAAAATGCTCAAACATTTTAAAGTACTGTTCGAACCATTTTCTGACCGTGTACCATTCAATGGGTAGGTACTAATTGTGGTAGCGTGACGTTAGACCTTAAGAATCTGATTTCTCCCAAAACCACTAAAGCAATCGGGAATACTTTTGTCGTTTACGGAAAGTGCCGACGGTTCCCGATTACAACTAAAGGTGTCCTCACTAATCACTAAATAGATCAACCTGCTAGGAGTTGGTAACGATTTTTGTTATCAACTAGTGGTAATACCCTGGACGTGAATACATCAGAAATATTTTAAAACGAAAAAGATATTTAATCAATTTATATATATTTTTCAATTGAAAAAGAGATGTCTCTTAAAGAAATAGAGATATCTTTAATGAATAAAAGATATTTAAAATTATTTGGTAATAGTGATTTCTTTAAATGTAATAGATATCTTTAAATGGACTAAATGTAAACTTTTTTTAGGTAAATTTAAAAAAATCTTTAATGTAATAGAGATAAGTAACGGGAAACAGATACTTGTAAACAAAAACACAAATATATTCAAATTTTATATAAATGGTTTATCAAAGTCACAGTAGTCCTATAAAATTCTGCACAAATGAAATCGAAATATTTATACATTCATTATATAGATTCCAGCGCATAGTTACAATTGTGTGTGCCAAATCAACGAAGAGTTATACCCCTTGATATCATAGATCTTCTTGCGTACCTGTACTATATGATAGGCCTAGCAAAACAAGCTGATGCTGATATATTTATTTTATATTTATCTATATTTTGCAATCATGATAATTATGAACTCTGAAATATTTTGGTGAACTACACAGCCATTAAAAATATCTTATTAATTAAATTGGCGTAATATTCAAATAGAAGGAAACCGTAATTATGGGGTCAGCAAGGAAAAGAGGGTATAAAGCGTTTAATACGTTTAAACCGTAGTGAGTGGCCCGCGGCCATTAGCATTGTAGACTGGAATTCCGTCTAATAATGGTGTCTCTTGACTACTTTTTAGTAAAAGCAAGCGAGATGATTTTAATCTGAACAATTTAGTTTTGGTCCAAATATAGCTGTACCAAATTATCAGGTCCTGACTGTGACCACCCGGTTTTTAATGTAGGTCGTCCTCGGCCTTTGAACTAGTGGATTTCCTTCCGCTCAATTTTAATTCCACGTGTGACGTTTTCCTCCTTCTCAAGCAAGTTGCCAATCTCTGTAAGATTCTGTGCTGTTTCCGTCTAATAATGGTGTCTCTTGGCTACTTTTTAGTAAAAGCAAGCGAGATGATTTTAATCTGAACAATTTAGTTTTGGTCCAAATATAGCTGTACCAAATTATCAGGTCCTGACTGTGACCACCCGGTTTTTAATGTAGGTCGTCCTCGGCCTTTGAACTAGTGGATTTCCTTCCGCTCAATTTTAATTCCACGTGTGACGTTTTCCTCCTTCTCAAGCAAGTTGCCAATCTCTGTAAGATTCTGTGCTGTATCAGAAACATATATATTACAGATATTGGCAACTTGCTCTTTACCTTACTATTGGTCACGGTAAAACCGGATGTCATATCGTGAGTTACGCTTCACCTGCGCCATATTGGATATACGGTTCGTTGCATTCAATGATCCTGTCCTGTTCAAAACATAATAATGCCACGAGAAAACATCGATAATCGACGTAATATTAAACCCGTAGCTAGCTGAGATTTCCATGGGGTTTGGGAGTGCTACATTGAATGTAAACTTGAATGATTAAGTTTAGAAAACACCAAACATCGAACATATCGGGAATGATTCTGGCTTCAGGAGAACACAAACACCGTTGTTGTTCTTAAGACAATTTCAAAAAAGTCTGCAGAAATTTATTATTTGATCAGGTTCTTAAAATGTGGTTGTTACAATACTTGCAAAGTTCAATAATTAAGCTCTGAAAATACGTGTTTTTTTTATAAGAATAAACAAGTTAAAATGGTGGCTTTGATGGTTGAGGGTTATTTTTCATGACACATTAGAACACGAACTTCTTTTTAATTCACTTTTCAATTTCAAAAATATCTTCAGCTATTAATTATTTGATAATATTTCTTACCATGATTTTAAAATGAGGTTGTTACAAGACTTGCAAAATTGATAATTAGCTCTGAAAATACATGTTTTTAAGAATAAACAAGTTAAAACGGCGGCTATGACGTGCGATTTTTTTTCTTTCTTTACACATTAAAACACGAACTCCTTTCTAATTCATCATTTAATTTCAAAAACATCTTCAGATATTTATTCAAACATAATATTTCTAGCCAGCTTTTTCAAATAAGGTTTTAACAATAATTGCAAAGTTTGATAATTGAGCTTTGAAAATACACTTTAAAATATACAAGTTAAAATGGCGGCTGTGATGTGCGAGGGTTAATTCCTTTCATGACACCGGCACTCCTTTCTCGTTCATTATTTTATTTCAAAAACGTATTCCGAAATTACATTATATTTCTAACCAGCTTCTTTATATGAGCTATATATCTAGGATATGTAACATTTTGACACGAACTTTAACGAATTCACGTTCGAATTCTCACAGGTAAAACCCCTGTCACACTAGGGCGGCGTTCCCACGGCGTCCAAGAAAAATTCAGAACACCGATCTGCGCGCAGTGGAATCGCAGGCATCGCCTTGGTAACGCAGTGGCATCGCCAGTGAACGCGGTGGGATCGCATAGAACGCCGAGCGACAGTGCGCACTTTGAGCATGCCCAAAACAATCGCCGTCGCTCGGCAGTGGGATCGCCGTGAGGTCGCCGTAGCAGCGAAGTTAAGTCTCCTACAACGCCACAGGATCGCCACGGGCGCGCACAGAGGTCGCAGTGCGAGCGCAATGGTTATCGGTGGCGCTTGCACGACGTACTCTGATATGGCACTGCGTCTCTACCGTGCTTATACGGGCTGTGACAACTCGATGCACGCAGTGGAAGCGCCATGAGAGGGAGATGAGAGGGCCATGAGGGCGCAGACAATCTTCAACTAGATCTCCGTAGGAACGCGGTAGAACGCCATGGAGCTCCGTTTAAACGCCAAGGTCGCCGTGAGAACGCCGTGACATTGCCATCTTCATGAAAAAAATATTAATTTTTCCTGCGATCTCACGGCGCTCTGGGAAATTTAACAACACCGTGCAATCGCAGTGGCAACGCGGCTAGGTGTGACAGGGGCTTAACGTCAGTGCACATGCAGTGCGCGCGCCGTGACAAGTCGTGCACGCAGTGGAAGCGCCGTGAGAGCGCCATGAGAGTGCAGACAATCGCCAACTAGGACTCCGTAGGAACGCGAAGGAACGCCATGGAGCTCCGTAGAAACGCCAAGGTCGCCGTGAAAACGCTGTGACATCGCCATCTTCATGAAAAATATCAATTTTTCCTGCGACCTCACAGCGCTCTGGGAAGTTTCACAACGCCATGCAATCGCAGTTGCTATAATGCTTATAATATGGCGCTCTTTAAATTTCATCACACAGGCGTTAAGTTTCCACCACATTTACTACACATGTCTGTCCCCAGAAACCTTTCCATGACCCCTCTTTTAATTTGGAACACCTCATTATTATAAATTTATTAAATCCTACAGACAAGTTAGAAATAGCATAAACGACAAAGGCGCAGTACGTACATTGCTGTTTTAAACGCTTTACGTTCTCCATTGTATTTAACAGTCGGTACATGTATAGTTCCTGATCGGTATTGTCCGCAATACTGAATACACTGATATAAAGATTCAATAAAAGTTGGTTGATATTAATGCTAGATACAAGATACAAGAATTTTTATTTAGAGTCGTGTTTGTAACAATGCAACTTTGGCTCAGAAGAGCTATTCTTACGACTAACTTGCTAACATTGATTTCACCACAAATGTATTGTAATTCACAAATTTGTCAGTATCGAGATATTCTGTTAGATATTGCTTAAAAATCTACTTTCGCTAATATTAAAACAACTGCGATTCCAAAATGACGAGCTAGCATCCTTAATTATTTATTGAAAAAATACGTAGTTATCTCCCGTGACAAAGAGGGCACTGTGAAATGAAGATGAAAATGGCCGACGGGAGTACAGCGGTTCTCCGCCGAAACAGGCCAGGAACCAAAACAGAGGCAATATATCGACCAATTTACTGTAGAAACAATATATTTTATGAATATTTCGTGTTCTGTGTGATGCTTGATGTTGAAAGATAGGCCTATTATACAGGGGCAGGCGATGGTAATTCCGTACCTTCACCTGTTTCCGGTTTTCGTTGTTGTCATTTTGGCAGTAACGTTAATGTTCAGGATGCAAGTGACTCCTCCTGCAGACTTCAAGATAAATCCCCTGGTTGCAGTCAACTTTATACACTTGTGTACACCCCCTGTAACTAAATTTGCGATGTCATCCGAATGATGTACTAAACGTAAATCTTTTAGATCTTTAGCGCTGGGTCTTGTACAAGTTGTAGGCAGTTTCCTGCCCCGTCCACTGTCAAACACACCACTCTTACCCTTATTTGTTGTATCAGAACAAATATTTATGATTATCTGATAAGGCAATGTCATGATGTGACGTCAACATGCATGATGCTGTTGATGCACATGAAGTTTACTTGACACGCGCAAAAAAAAAGACATTTTGTATCAAAAATGTTGAATGGGATAAAAACTTGTCAAATATGATTTAATCATTTTGTTATAAAATTGATTTAATCATCTGCTTGGGACCCAACTTTTATAATGCTGCCACATGCGTGTAACAGGTCTGGTAGCAACAGACTGTATAAGGTTAAAGTTAATATTTTCTTTTTTGTTTTATAGAACTGGTGCAGTTGGAGTGATGAGTCGTTTGAAGAGATGGACAGTACTCTTGCTGTACAACAGGTACTGACAAATAAACAAAAAGCATGTTTACTTTTCTCAGTATAACGTTATATCAATTGATATAGGTTATGAAGCTTCTGAAGTTAATGAGCAGCCTCTGTAGCAGACATAACCACTTATTATGTTGTCTATACCTGGTCAACAGTGGCAACTAATGGTATTGACTAGAACGACAAAATAGCAACTAATGGTATCGACAAAATACTATTCAAAAGGGGGACCCACAGGCAAATCAGCAGTAACACGGTTGTGTAGGCCTGGAATATAGTCTGCCAAATCAGGTGGTAAATTCCCAAAGTGTAAATATTTTTAAACACAAGACTCAACAAATTTTGGTCTGATCACCCTTGTTACTTTAATTCCTCTTGCTATTAGCATTTGTGCTAGGATAATCCTGTGGATTATTTTTCGCGTTATTTTACTATTAAATATTTGAACAAATACATAACAAGATAACTGAAAACTATTTCCTCTTATCTACGCACCATAAGTCACATATTACTATACATTAAAAGTATTAAATATATATATGCCTAAAGAAGCTTTCCATTGGCGTCAATTACTATATACTAATGTAGGGTTTCTCTTCCTATACATGTGTTGCAAGTCCAGGTTTATTTGTTTAGTATAAAACTCACTGTAAAATGTGCACATTGTTAAAAGTATCTGTTTTAAACTATAGCTAAAGTCTCATTTTATGTTTCAGTTTATACAACAGGCAATTAGAAAAGACTTCACAAATGTTGAAGAGATCTTGACACCACCTGAAGGTCAGGATGAAGGTGTATGGAAGTACGAACATCTAAGGTATGTCATTGATCAGTGGTGTATGATTTCGTATTTGAAGTACTAAGAAACAGACAGATTTTGAAAAAAAATCTACTAGCCTGGCCTACATTTTAATAGTAAATATTGAAAACGTTCCCTCGCCCTGACATAAATTTCTCCTACATTAAGTCTAGCTACACTGAGTATCCAGCTAGTGGAAATCACATTCTATTGGTTTCACCTTAAAATAGAGCCAACACCAGTTTATAAGTGGGGTGCTGCGCTTGAGTATGGATACCAAAAGGTATGCAGGGTGATTGAGAAAATATGGTGAATATAATCGAGGAGTATTTCAATCGCAACATCCACAAGCGTCTTCAGTGAGTGGGTATCTGTTATTGCCGACTAGTTTTTGTTTATTATTAAAATGTTTTGGGAGATAAATAGTAGATCTTATTTTTAGGATAGTGGAATTTGTATGGGTTAGCATTAGCAAATTTTAAAACTTTTAGTGATGCTAATCTGAACATTACAATCTTGCTAGCATGTTACTAAACTTCATGACTGGAAACTTGAATGATTATTTTTTAGCCAATGACGTGTCGGTTGGAGAAAATAAAACGATTCCATCTTTTGACATTTTTCAACATGCTCCCAGATTTAATGTTCATAATTTTGTATGTTACAGACAGTTTTGTATGGAGCTGAATGGATTGGCTGTGAAACTACAGTTAAATGTAAGTTAGTCTTCAACAGTATGAAGATGGCATCTGTAAAATTCCCTCAGCTGAACATCAGCATTTGTACATTCTCTATACAAATTTTATGTACAGAGAATGAAAAAACAATGCAACCCACATGTGAATGAGTAAAATAATATTTCTACCATAAACCACATGATAATACTAAGGCCAAACAAAAAATATGTAGTTTTTCCGGTAGCCCTACCTTCCCTAGTTTTTGTGCCTACCCTAAACTTTTTAAGGCAATTTCAAAGAAGCACTGTTAAAGTCAAGATCACTCTCCTATATAAACCATATAAAATTATTTGTTTAATTAAAATAAAAATTACCTACCTACCCTAAATTTGTCCAACATGTTACAGGAAACATATTTTTTTGTCTGGCCTAAACCAATGGAATATCTGGGTAAGCAATGATTGCCTTATGAATGGTATTGACATGTTTACAGAATGAATGTAACCCTGAGACCTGTACCCAGATGACTGCCACAGAACAGTGGATCTTCCTATGTGCTGCTCACAAGACGCCAAAAGAGGTAATTGTACAGCAGGATATCGTAGTAAGGTACTAGGTTATCTCCCTAATACTGTTTTATGTCTCGAGGATAACTGTCCTAGTGAGATGTAATATAGAAAAGGATCCCCGGACTATACCATTTACTTTGTGTTTTCATCTGTACTAGTATCGGACAGATATGGTAGTCGGGACAAAGTCTCACTGATTACTGTCTGTTTTGTCATAGTGACATCATTTTAAAATCTCTATAAACTCAGTTAAGTGTGGTCCATGACTGGCTAGATGACGGCTAGATGACGGTGCACATGTTTGCTTGTCGGTAACAAGTTTCAGATGTAAGCAAGTCATGCAAGTCACCTTAACTTTTGGCAATTTATTTGAAATAAAGCAATATGTACAGAATTTATAATATATGGAATTTCGGTAAAATAAAATAAAAAAGTAGATGTTATCATGTAGCGTTCATCGAAGAATACTATCATGCATCAAGGTACTCTAACTATTAACCCATTCACCCCTGAAGACACATTTTAACTCTTCCAATACAAAGGTTGGGATAGCTCATTATGAAATTCCAGGGGTGAATGAGTTAAAGGGATATTTGATGAGATAATTGTTATCTACTTCAGTTTTGTCTGGCCCAGTCTCTTTTGCTCTCCAGAGCAAACAATATCTCTAGTACTAACTCTGGCAAAGACAGAAGACTGTTAATCAACCTGTTAGCAGTAGAAATGGTGTTCACTCTGGAAAGTTTCTCAGTTACCTGTGATCTATACTCAGGGATTTTAATAAGTTTTAGGTTAGTTACAGGTACTTTCAGAATTGCCCCTTCGTTTGGCCGGGGGTCTGGAGACATTCAAGGCCCCCAGGAGGTTCAGGGAAGCACCCTGGTGGGGGACCAGTGGGGTGAACCCCCCTGGGCAAAGATGGATTTAAAACAATTTAAAGGGACCTGGACAGAATTTTCGTTAAAAAAAGGGTTGTAAATAAACAATCTTAGTCAATCTTTGATTTAAAATTTTGTTTTGTTTTAGTGTCCAGCCATCGATTACACAAGGCACACACTAGATGGAGCTGCCTGTCTCCTTAATAGCAACAAATACTTCCCTAGCAGGTAAATATCTGTTAGGAAGATCATTAATTACAGGTTAATGTTCTCAATGAGGGAAATGATTGTTTCAGAGGTTTCCTACTTATTTTGTATGGAATATGTTTCAGCATATAGTATATCGCTATTATTTAAAGGGAAATTCACACTTTGCCAATGATTTCAATACAATTTTTATTTGAAAAAATTCACTGTTTCTCCTTGAAATACTTTAGTTGGCCTGTAGATGGACAAATATACTCGGACAGGTTTATACCTTATGACACTGTGCCCATTAAGTTCATCAAAAAACCCAATTCAAATTCATAAATCAGATGATGATCTTAGGATTAGAGCAACTGTTATGTTAAAGAGTCCTATGGCTATTTTCCATTTGAGAGAAAAAATCATTGATAGCTCAATGTCATTTCATAGTTTGTAAGCAAAATTGATATGGTCGAAATTTAAAGTCCCACATGGTTTCCATAATTTTCAGAGATGCAGGTTTTAATCTGTGTATTTTTACCTTAGTCATTTCTTCATAGCGTTTTCATAGGATTAGAAAATATGGGGTGTCATTACATGTGTGACATATTCACTCGTTCACCCCTGAAATTTCATAATGAACTTTTCCAACGTTTGAATTGGAAGAATTCAAATGTGCCTTCAGGGTTGAATGAGTAACAGGATTGAAAATGAAATGAAAATGTGGCTGTAGTAATGTTGTTACCCTTGTTTTCTGATACCTGTTTGATTTGGTTGTCAGAGTTAGTATAAAGGAATCATCGGTAGCCAAGCTTGGGTCTGTGTGTCGGCGGGTGTATAGGATCTTCTCTCATGCCTACTTCCACCATAGGACACTGTTTGATGAATATGAGGTAAGATCTGTGGGTTTTGTTTAAGGAATATTACACATGATCTGTTAATTATCCTTGGTTAATTAAAATGAAGTAAGATCTGTGGTTTCAATCAACAATCCGATTGAGCAAGATGTACATTTAGAAAAGAAGAAAAAAATCACTGAAACTGATATCAAGTAATTTTTGTGGTCGTTTTATTTTAATGGTAGCTTGGAACTGCAAGTTCAACACTTTCCTAAAAAAATGTCTAACGTCAATAGTTATCAAATTTGCAATACAGACGATCCCCATTTGAAATAGTCATTTTATTTTTAAAAATATTATTCATATATTAAATCATTATATGTATTATTATCTTTTGATTTTTGTTTTTCAGAATGAAACCTACCTCTGTAGAAGATTTACAAATTTTGTGACCAAATATAACTTGATGTCCAAAGACAACTTGATAGTTCCAATTCTAGAGGACCAGCAAGGAATAGAGGGGGAGAGTGAAGCTTAGGGGAGATAACTCTTCTTATCCTGCGTACATGCATGCATGATATGGAAAATACATGATTTTGAGACAATATAGAGCTTGGTCAATTTAAAATACCAGAAAGATGGAGTTAGGGAACATAAATGTAAGATTACTTTGATGACGTGACATCATGCTGTCTATAAACAGAGCTTGATGGCGTTTGAAGCTCAGCAGATGTGAATTTACGTTGGAGAGATTTATTTTTACCATTAAGTCTGAAGTCAAAGTAAAATGTTGGTAGAGAAAACAGTGGGTAAGTCAATTCTGATTTCAACAAAAAGCTACTTCGCAGTGGCTTAGAAAGAGGAATAATACACTTATGTCAGACCAAATATACTCTGTGGAAGCAGACATGTACAGCTGCTACAGGAACAAACCTCAGGGGGGACTGATGGATAGTGCGACTGATGGATAGAGTGGTGAAATCTACTGTGTTGACAGTTGCAGCATACAAATCATTTAAAATGTTCACAGTGTCATGTGGTTTTTATTGTACTCATAGAATTGTTCAATTTGTTTTCAGTCCCACATACAATGTTTAAATCCTGTAACACATGAATCTCCCATGAATTGTGAATGCAAGTCACTGGTGCAATATCTCACAGGGAACACAGTAGCTGTGCAAAAGTTGCTAATCCAGTCACTGTTCAAGTATTTCCTTAAACATCACATTTTAACGCTTGCTCTTATAAATATACAATTATATACAGTACATATACATGTATATACAAGCAAGAGCTATCTGGAAGTATGTGTGATTAAGTCAAAATGTGATTATCGTGTGATAGGAAGATGGGCTTTATACAATTTTCAGGTCTCTTTTTCAGATGATTGTAAGGTTATATATGTAAAGCATAACACATCAATTTATATATATCATGAACAAAACTTAAAATTGGAAATAGGGAAGGAATGTATACCTAGCAAGAAAAAATGAAATAATAAACAGGACATGAATTGATAGTGCTGTCAGGGAGTCACTTGTACAACTGGGCTAAAAGCTGGATTATCCGTGTAAAGCTAGGTTGTATAAGCATAGTGTGTGTGCTGTAGAAGGTACTGCCCTAACAACACCTGGTAATACTTTTACATAATTTTAAAAATCTTTCTTTGAGGTCACCTTCATATCTCGTATGAATCAAATAATGTGTTATCTAATGTAATTGGTTACAACTAAGTCCATAGCAAGAAATGATGTGATGAAAATCAAACTATATACTGTTTATACTGAAACACACTTGGCTGTGGTAAGCTATATACTGTAAAACAGTAGCAGGCACAGTAGTCTAGTGGTTGGACGCAGTGCTCACGACCGAAGGGTTGCTGGTTCGAGTCACGGCATGGCACTGTGTTGTAGCTTTGAGCAAGATACTTTACTCCGCTTGTTCCAGTCTACTCAGCTGTAAATGAGTATGTGGTTGGGCAGTGCTAGAACTGTTGAATGCTAGCTGTGAGCGTCGAAATGGCAGCACCAGCTGTATGCTCCCCAGGGAGTTGATAAAGATATTGGCTGGTTGTGAAGGCCCTATAACCACGGATAATAATTTGTGAACCGCTTCAAGATGACCCTACGAGCTAGGTTGTGATAAAGCGGTATATAAGAACCTCAAATTATTATTATTAACACATTTGGCTGTGTTTAGCTATATGCTGTAGCACACTTGGCTGTGGTAAGCTATTGTTTTATTTCCTGTTGGTACATTTACTGATACTATTTCAATACAAACTTCATGAAAATCTCAACAAATAACTGTTTTCATTACCTGTTTCAGATATGTTTAATGAGTAATATTACTGATTAATAAATATAAAATTGCTTGCGTGTCATGTACCCCCTTTATGAAAGAGTCCAGAATTCAGAATTATAACGGACAGTAACATTGATTTGTACATGAAAATAATAAGTAATTGTCATGATCAAATAACTAACACAATACTGTTTGCTGTACTCAGAGGACTTTGAGGGAGATGAGCCCTGAGCTAAATCTGGTTTTAATGCTCAGTAAATAAAGTTTATTATTATAATTGTAATTATGAAAACTGTACAAAGTGCTCACCCACTAATAAAATAAAAATGGTACAAATGTACTCATAAATAAACAATGTACTCTATATTGATCTACATTCTATTTTTAGAATCAGTAGTCCCTATCTGATTAACATAGAGATAAATGTGGTGTAAAAGATGTGTAATTAGGCTGCCTTACAAGCGTCAGCTGTAGGAAATTTCCATTTATTTCAGCGGTAGAGCATCGGGCTGGCGAGCCAATGGTCGCGGGTTTGAGCCTCAGCGACGGCACTATCTTTATCACTATTTCTCATCCTACTGCAATGGAAATATAATTACTGTCTCCATATCAACATGTATCTGTTTCTCTTGTCAAGTATAGTGTAGGCCTTCTCACCTATAGCTGCAGTAGGTGTATTTTGTCTTTTCTTACCAGTATACGTAGGAACTGGCAAATCATGTACCATCGAGGAGTGTGTGTGTAGAACTGGATTTTGATGCTGAGCCCTAACTTATTTACACGTATCTGTGGTTTGTAGAGAGGAAGTGTGTGTGATGTTGCTATTAACCCATTAATTATGTATTGTTTATTTACATATTTGTATAAAGACGTAATAAATTGTCATTTTGAAATGTAAGCAGTGATTTTGTTGTAGAATATTCAATGTTTGTATTGTCTGATGTCAAAGTTTGACGAGCGATTCTTTTAAAGATGAGTTCCTGCTTTTCAGCAATTATAAGCATCATTTATAGCATCTAAAAGGTTTGACACTCAGTAAAATATGAAAATAAAGCATTTTGCTCCACTTCAAATCCCATCCGTTTGGAATATAAATTGACATACAGGTGTGGGAGTGGATAAGTTCACATTCAAACCTAACATCCTCAGGATTAGCAATGTCTTGATGTGCTCAATCAATAGACACCTTATGCCATATGCTCTCGAAACAAATCTGAAATGTTATCGCCTTTTGTCCGTGGTTCGGCATCCCCTGTAAATAGTCTTAACTGGCATTAATGAATCTTTTGGTCCATAGTTGTCTAGCCCTTATTTGAGGTGAGCCAAGAGAGCAAAATGGCCACCAGGCAGCCATCTTTGATCTTGTATGTGTCGTTTGTTGCCGCTATTTGTTAAAAACTATTAGATAGATCTTGATGAAATTTTGTGTCCCTTTGTGCTTAGCTAGCTAGCTAGCTCAATGGGCAGCTGCAGGAATCGTGACGAAACTTGGTACAATTGTACGAAATGGCCGCAACATACAGTAAGACCACAATGACCCGCTATAATGAAAACGGTCTAATCGTTCTAAGAAGGATATCACCCAAGTAACTGGTGAAACAGTTGTGGTGTCCCGGGACCTGTATACTGTACTCTATACATTCAGAACCATGAACAGGTGGGTACAACCGAAAAACACAAAATATATATGTATTGTCTACAAACATTCAACGCGACATACAGTCATGGTGGTCTACTGTGACCACACATTGTAAAAAAGCATGATCGCCATTTTCCGTGTATTTTGTGTGAGCTTGAAATTAGGGAGAACCAGAAAAACAAATGGCCACGAGGATTTGCGTGGTATATGATGAATCTACTATCATATTCAACTTCCCAAACCTTTACTTTGCCTCGACATATATATATAGAGTCAACAAAGACATCATTCTTCTTCTTCCCGTTATGGAGTTGACTCGTCAGATGAGTGTCACTACTCCAGCCTCTCCGGCGCTTATTGGCCATACAGCTTAAAAATTTGCTATTTACATCTGTCTGTATGTTCATTTAAAATCTGGTATTTACAGTTAAAATCCGGAGTCCTGTTTAGTGCCTGGGGATGAGTCCGGCCCCATCAATGGTCTGTATGTGGTGCCGGAAACTGTCTACTGTTGGTAATCCTCTGATATCTGATGGTATTGAGTTCCACATCTTGATCGTAGCAGGGACGAATGAATGACTCTGGTGCTTATTTGTCTGATGTTGTTGGCTTGGGAACTCCTAGTCCCCCTGCTGGTCTGTTGTAGGAGATGATGGACGGGGACCTCTACTAGGTTGTTGGCTTGGGAACTCCTAGTCCCCCTGCTGGTCTGTTGTAGGAGATGATGGACGGGGACCTCTACTAGGTTGTTGGCTTGGGAACTCCTAGTCCCCCTGCTGGTCTGTTGTAGGAGATGATGGACGGGGACCTCTACTAGGTTGTTGGCTTGGGAACTCCTAGTCCCCCTGCTGGTCTGTTGTAGGAGATGATGGACGGGGACGTCTACTAGGTTGTTGGCTTGGGAACTCCTAGTCCCCCTGCTGGTCTGTTGTAGGAGATGATGGACGGGGACTTCTACTAGGTTGTTGATGATTTTGTAGAACATGATGATCCTATTTCTCACTCTTCTATGTTCTAGTGGTTCCCAATTTAGTTGCTTAAGCATGGTAGTAACGCAACCATGGTCTCGGGAGTAGTAATTCCCTGTAGAAAATCGTGCTGCCTGTCTTTGCACGCTTTCGATTTGTTGCATTTGATGGTATTGGAATGGTGCCCAGACTACAGATGCGTATTCCAAAACTGGCCTGACTAAGGTGGTGTATACCTGGTATTTTACTGCTTGTGGACAGTTCCTGAGGTTACGTCTCAAGAATCCCACTGTTCTTGAGGCCTTGGCAGTTGTCTGATCAATGTGATCCCGCCACGATAGATCTTGGCTTATGTATACTCCAAGGTACTTTCCACCTGGAACTGTCTCCAGGGTGTGGCCATGAAGCTGGTACTTGGTGTCAACTATTTTCCTCTTCTTCGTGATGTGGATGGCGGTACATTTATCTGGATGGAATGCCATTTGCCAGTCTTTTTCCCACTTTTCTAAAGCATTCAAGTCTTCTTGTAGGATCTTACTATCGTTAGATGTTTCTATGTTCCTGTATATCAAGCAGTCATCCGCAAACAGCTTGACAGAGGAGCTCACACTTTCAGGCAAGTCGTTGATGAAAGTCAGGAAAAGTAGCGGTCCTATGACCGTTCCCTGTGGAACTCCTGAATCCACGTCTCCCTCGGTTGACTTAGCTCCTTCTACCAAAACGTGCTGCTTTCTACTGCCAAGGAAGTTACCAATCCAGCGTAGGGTTGAACCGCGGATTCCATAGTAGTGGAGTTTGTGAAGTAGACGTTGATGCGGTACCTTGTCAAAGGCTTTCGCAAAGTCAAGTAGTATGACATCCATCTGTTGTCCATTGGAAAGTCCTTTTGCAAGGTCTTTGATGGTTGCGATAAGCTGTGTTTCACAGGAACGTTTACTGCGGAATCCGTGCTAGGCGTCTGTAAGTATGTTGTGGGTCTCAAAGTGGTCCAAGATGATAGAGTGGAGAATGTGCTCACTGACCTTGCTGCAGATCGAAGTCAATGAGACTGGCCTGTAATTAGCAGCTTTACTCTTGTCTTCTTTCTTGAAGACTGGTACTACATTTTCCAGTCACCTGGAACAGTTCCGAGATTAATCGAGTCTGGTAAATGAGACGTAGGGCTGGTGCGAGTTCGTTGGTCAGATCCTTTAAAAATCTTGCTGGTACTGAGTCTGGTCCTGTAGCTTTTTGTGGCCTCAAGTTTTTTAGGAGTTTGGTTACACCTGCAGTTGAGATAGTTATGGGAGCCATAGATGGAAATGGGCTTGGTCCTTTGTCCGATATGCTGCTTATGTCCTCTTTGGTGAATACCGATTTAAATTGGTCGTTCAGGATGTTAGCTTTGGTGGTTTGATCGCTATGAATGAGGCCTTCAGTATTGCGTAATGGGCCAACTCCTGATGATTCCTGTTTCCTGCCTTTGATGAAGGACCAGAACTTCTTCGGGTTATTTCTTGCTTCTGGGCTGATGACGTCACGAACATATGTGTCATGCGCTTGTCGGATGCTCGTCTGGCATTTGGATTTCAGAAGATGGTAGCGTTTGACATCCTTCTCTTTTCCACTTCCTTTGGCTTTGTAGTATGCCCTTTGTTTCTGGCGTGTTAATCGACCATACTACAATCATACCTATAACCTTTTCAATTTGCTGAATTTGCCATATGAAAACATGCATAATTAGTGTGGTTTGACTTAACACAAAAAGTCCTTTCAGTCCTATAATAATAATAATGCTATTTCGAGGTTCTTATATACCGCTTTATCACAACCAAGTTCGTAGGTCGTCTCAAAGCGGTTTACAAATAATAATTCGTGGTTATTGTGCCAATTGTATTGGTTGGAAGCAGTTTGGTCTGGATGCATTTTGTCTTTTCCCTCCGAATGCCATTTGTATCCTTTCTCTGTGGAAGAATATTTGCCCCTTGTTTCCTGTTATGAAGGTGTCTTCTTCATGCTTACGATGAAAGGACAAGTTTGAATCAAAATAATCTCGCAGTCACATTACGGTAAAAATTAACAGGCTTTGAAGTTGGGCGACTCTCCTTCGTAATCTTCAAAGGACACGTATCAGCCTAGCGATTGGTCAGGTCCTGTGTGCAAATAACGCTGGGTATCCTTTTGTCAGCTAATAAAACTAGAACGTTGACAGGTCAGTAAGGGCCCCGTCTTGTGGCAATATATCCCCCATAATCATCAAGAAACAATCAGCCCATATAGCTGAGCTTGACGTTTGACATTTGGACTTCAAAAAGAATCGCAAGGAAGCAAAATATACATTTTAAATGAACTATAATGTTTGCTTCCACCTCCATATTTGCTGGGCTAACAGAAATGTAAATACCGGTGCAATACTCATTTGTTAGCTTTGATTTGTTTATTTCACCTTAAATACCTCCCCCATCAAGAGCCAGGGTCAAAGTCAGAGATCCACTTTGTCTTTGACCTTTGGACCCAAATGACATTGGCCTTAAACTCAGTGACCGTGATCTTTGGTCAGTTGACTTATTGTTTAATTCTGACCTACTTTTGTTTCATAATATCACAACAAAATGTTCATCAGTGAATATACAAAACTTGACCTTGAGCCTTTGGACCCCGTAACATGGACCTTTGGTCATTTGACTTCGTGTTAAGTTCTGAACAACTTTGCTTCATCATAACATAGAAAAAATGTTCATCAGTAAAAAGATACAATATTTGACCTTGACATTGACCCGGTGACCTTTACCGTTGGTCAAATGACTCCTTGTTTACTTCCGACCAACATTGCTGCAAAGTGTGATAACGAAATGTTCACCAGTGAAAATATACTAAATTTGACATTGACTTTTGAACCAGTGACCTTGACCTTAAGTCAGTTATCTCTCTGTTAAATTCCGACCAACTTCGCTTCATAATGTCCTAACAAAATGTTCATCAGGGAAAAAATACAAAATTTGAACTTGATCTTTGACCCAGTGACCATGACCTTTGGTCAAATGACTCCTTGTTTAATTCCGACTAACATTGCTTCAAAGTGTGATTACGAAATGTTCACCAGTGAAAAGATACAAAATTTGACCTTGACCTTTGACACAGTGATATTCACCTTTGGTCAGTTGACTCTTTGTTTAATTCCGACCAACTTTGCTTCATAATGTCATAACAAAACGTTCATCTGTTAAAAGATGCAAAATTTGACCTTGACCTTTGAACCTAATGAACTTGACCTTTGACCTTGACTTTTTACCTCAATGTGTCTCTTTTTTTAATTCTATTTTTTAAACGTCATAAAATGCTCATTTGTGAAAAGCTACAAAATTTGACCTTGAACTTTGACCTAGTGACCTTGACCCGATGACCTTTACCTTTGGTCAGATTAATTCTGATCAACTTTGCTTCATCAAGTCATATTCAGATTCAGATTCTTTATTACACTCTTGACACACTTGTCTGTGTAACAAGAGGTCAAAAATTCAAAACAGCATAAATGGCAGACAGGGTTAACAGTGACTAGGTGCATTGTAACATATGAATAATTATAGTTAATACGTATTAAAGTAACTCACTCAAGAATAATAATGATTAATTGCAAATTGTAAGCATATAAAGGTAATAAAGAATAAATTTATGCGATTTTAGAATAAACTGCAATTTTATGACAAGAATCAGTCATAACAAAATGTTTATCAGTGAAAAGATGTAAAATTTGACCTTGACCTTTGAACTTAATGACCTTGACTATTTTTGTGAACTGAACATCTAACCCAAGTTTCATGTAAATCGGTTAATAAATACCAAAGTTATCAGCCAGGAACAAAATGTGTGGACGGACGGACAGACAGGGTGATTACGGGGCCCTAAAAATGTTATGAGATCTATGCATGATGCATAAATATAACGTTATTTAGATAGAATGTTGATTTGGTGTAGACTAATACTATGTATGTGTACACAGGGGCATGGATCGCTTTACTTGTAATATTAAAAAATAAGGGTCTCCTGTACTAATATATGTATGTGTATACAAAAGCTCGTGGCAGCCCGCCAGTCGCCGATATATATATATATATATATGCGTTATATAGATCTTCAAATCAAAAAGGTTAATCACTCTGCACTGTACTATGTGTCATCATAATGAGGCAATTGGAATAATAGGAGGTAAAATCTGTCCCAGCTAAGCATCGACCCTCTCGAAGGTCAAGAAGCAAGAAGTCATTTCTTCCCTATGACGGACATCAGATCAATACGAGGCACAGTTACTTGGAATGTGTCACAATCATGATTTATATAATTGGTTATCTAGTACCGACAAAGGTCCTGTGATCGTTCTACATTGGTAGCTAAAAATGTAAGTGCATTTATTTGTGCCAACACCGGATTGATAATAGGCTTCAGCCTGACGGAGGTTGGCCGTACGTAAATCACAGCGCTGGTTTGCCCGATTGATGACAGTAACGTGTCTGTGTCCAAGTGTCCACGACAATGTGGTAATTATCGAAATATTTTTTATTTATAATTATAAGTTGATGATATTTCGTCAGGTGTTTGCGTCAACATTTTAGCATCCCCCCAAAGTATTTTATGTGTAAATAACGGGGGTCGTTTTTTTCAGCATGGTGCTGGGGTAACTTTATACCCTCAATTAAGTTCCGGTTAATTGACGCGTTTACAGTAGAAATTACATAAGCAAAGAACTGAGTATGCACTGTATTACTTTATATATTTTTAGAAGGCGGTCATATTTTTCATTATAGACACATTATCACAATCCCAAATACCGATATTTTTAGCTTCCAACATGTATTCAAATCACCCTTCGTCCGTGGTCCATCATTCTGTCTTGTTTGTTCAATCGTCCTTTAACAATTAAACAATTCTAGTAAGCATTATTTCTCAGAAATTTTCAAGGGATCTTTCTAAAATTTCACATTGAGATTCCTTATATGGTCCTTAGTTATGCATGTAAAATTCAGGGACTGGTCAGAAAACCAGAGATGAAGATGGCTGACAGTCGGTCATCTTGAATTTTGTTGAAATTTTTAGCTCACCTGGTCCGACGAACCATGGTGAGCTTATGTCATACCGCAGCATCCGTTGTTAGTCCGTCATCCATCCGTCTGTTAACTTGACTAGTCCTGAACGGCCCAGTAGATTTTGACTAAATCTGCTCTGGAGCATCCTTAGGCCAAGCTAGGGCACTCAATTTTGTATAAACGGTGAGTGTGGCCCTCAGGGGGCAGAGGAGTGGGACCCATCAGGAGAAATTGAGGTAAACCTTTAAAATCCTTCTGCTAGCGTAGATATTAAGGGATTTCACCCCAATTGAGCTGGAGCAATTTTGGGCCAAGGGACTCAATTTTGTATAAACATTAGGTGTAGCCCCCATGCATGAGGGCAAATTTCACTTTAATTTGGTCTGGAGCACTCTATTTTGTATAAACAGTGGCTGTGGTCCGGTAGGGGCAGAGGAGAGGGACCCAATACCGGAAATAGAGATTAAATTTTTTAATCCTCCTTGTACCTTAAAGGGATTTTATATTAATTTAGTCTGAAGCATCCTTAGGCCAGTGGGACTCAATTATGTAAAAATGGTGGGTGTGCCCCCCCCTTTGGGGTAGAAGGGTGTGACCCCATAGGGGAAATAGAGGTTAACCTTTAAAATCCTTCTTCTACCATAGGGATGAAGTGATTTCATCCCAATTTGATCTGGCGCATCCTTGGGCTAAATAAAGGCACTCTATTTTGTAACAGTGAGTGTGGTCCTCCTAGGGGCACAGGAAAGGGATCCAATATGGGAAATAAATGTAAAACTTTTAAATCCTCCTCAAATTTTAAAGATAAAGGGATTTTATCCTGATTTAGTCTGAAGCATTCTTAGGCTAAAGGCACTCTATTTTGTTTAAACGGTTGGTGTGTCTCCTCTGTGGGCAGAGAAGCATGACCCAACAGGGAATATAGAGATAAAACCTTTCTTTTTTTACCGTAGGGATTTTATCCTTATTTAGTCTGGAGCATCCTTAGGCCAAGGGGACCTGATTTTGTATAAATAGTGGGTATGGCCCCCTGAGGGCACTGAGGGGTGGGTCCACATATGGGAAATAATTAGAGTTAAATCTTCAAAATCCTTCTTCTAGAATAGGGATTACAGGATTGTATTTCAATTTTGTCTCCATCAAGTTGGTTTTTAAGTAGTTCTTGTAACTATTTCATATGTACATACAGTACCTATTATCGAGAACTTTGTACATATCCAGGTGAGCGTTACAGGCCCCCTGCGCCTCTTGTTAATATTAAGAGTTAAAGTTTGTTGGCGATTTTTCTCAGAAACTGAAAGACCTTGAGAGATCTTTCTCAAATTTCACTTGAATGATTCCAAGGGTCCCTTACAATGAATAACTAATTTTGGGACTGATCGCAAAACAAAGATGACTGACAGGCGGCAATGAATTAGGTATGTTTTAGCTAACATGACAGGAAAAAATTGGGTAGGTCATACAAGATTTATTTTGGATTTAATTTGAAAAATTTGAAGGGGGCTAAATATTTTTTTATCTTACTGAAAAAAAGTAAGTTAGTTTGGTCAGGTTTCATTTCATTTTTTCTTTTTTTGAGGGAGGCTAATTTAAGAAATAGCAAAAATCACCAAATTTATTTTTAGATCTTTTGAATAATGAAATGGTATTAAAATTTGATTTTGATGCCTGCTAATGAAAAAGAGAGGGTATGAAGTACTTGTATATATAAAGTTGTCTTGTTTGTTTGTCTATCAATATGTTTGCATCCGGTGGACAAGTTATCCCAACACTGGACGGAGTGCATTTAATAGTGATAAAATTGTTAGGGTCAGAGGTAAAACTAGGGTAGCTCGGGGTACTTGAAACATAAATTGTTAGGGTCAGAGGTAAAACTAGGGTAGCTCGGGGTACCTGAAACATAAATTGTTGGGGTCAGAGGTAAAACTAGGGTAGCTCGGGGTACCTGAAACATAAATTGTTAGCTCTCCTTGCCCAAAATCATATCCACATCGTCGGATAGCTTTTATTACCAAAAATCACAGCTGAAAACTTTCTATTGTAATTTTAAAGTTATGTTTAATCAATACAGCTTGAACACCATGTGAGGGAAATAAATTGAAAACAAAAATCAACCCACTGAAAATGGCTAATAGAAGAGAGAAAACCCCTGTTGACTCGGGATATGCCTGGGTTATACTTTTTGGTAAGTGCAGTACTTTTTGGTACCATAGTTAAATGATCAGATATGAATTTGTTAATTTCATATTTTATTGAAATCCACATTAAAAAAGCTGAACACTATACAATGAGGCATATACTAGTATTCAGATGCATCACAAAAAGGAACACTTCAGGATCTGTTGCCATATTACATGTTAACATATTGCATTGCACTTACTGTTATATTTCATTTGTTATCTGGTTCCTGATGAATATGCTTAATAACCTTAGAATTTGTATGTAATTATTTGATAAACAATCTCCTGTTATATTTGTAAGCCTGTTCCTTACTGTACATGATGTTGTCCGGACTGACCAAGGCCTTCGGAATCCTGTACACAGAGTTCCTGGAGGAGTATGATGCTGGGGCTGGAAACACCGCCTGGATCGGAAGTGTGAAACTCTTCCTCTTCTTTGGCCTGGGTAAATTTGTTCTTCTTTGTTGATTTTTAGAATTTTGGACAACGATTATGTATACATATTACAACTATAAGAAAAAAGCTTGATTAAATTAGTTGATGCCTTGAGTGTGATTGTCCAAAAACCTATTAGAAATTTTGATTACTTTATGTCGGAGATATCTAGAGTAACATATGTAAAAGATTTTCATGCTTTAGGCCCTCTGGCTTACCGCCTCGCCTGTGTGAGAACTTTTTCATTTCGGAATGTTTTAATGTTTCAGGCCCTCTAGCTAACCATCTGTGTGAGGACTTTTCGTTCCGGAAGGTAGTGATCACAGGAGGGCTCTTAATATTTCTTGGCTACTTGGTCAGTGTATTTGTGGAGCAGATGGAACTGTTGTATCTGACTATTGGTGTTGTTGCAGGTAAGTGTGGTGTTTTGTGTTGTTTATAAGGGGAAGTAATCCAGTGATACCCCTAATCATAAGGGGAAGTAATCAAGTGATCCATTAATGATAAGGGGAAGTTATCCAGTGATCCACTAATTATGGGGGAAGTAATCCAGTGATCCCCTAATAACAAAGGGAAGTAATCCAGTTATGCCACAATCATAATGGGAAGTAATCCAGTGTTCCCCTTATAACAAGGGGAAGTAATCCAGTGATCCCCTTATATAACAAGGGGAAGTAATCCAGTTATGCCTCAATCATAAAGGGAAGTAATCCAGTGATCCCCTAAAAACAAGGGGAAGTAATCCAGGTATGTCCCAATCATAAAGGGGAGTAATCCAGTGATCCCTTATAATAAGGGGAAGTAATCCAGTGATCCCCATTATCATAAGGGGAAGTAATCCAGTGTTCCCCTTATTGAAATAATGTCTCAGTATAAAAAATGCAATGTTTAAGTTATGTATACTTTATGCATTTATATATAGTACAGTTGGGAAAAGCTTCTAAAGGCTTATCTATATCGCCTTTAATGGCATTTTGATGCCCCACAATTTGATGGAGCCTATAGAGGTTTTTTAACTATCTCCATACAGACTCATCCCGTCTTAATTCAATGTCATTTCACTAGTACCTTAATTAGCATCTGGTCAAACTTTATACAGAGAGCAAGAACAAGAGAACTCACATGATGTTATGTTTCATGGCACATGTCCTAAAGTCAAGGCCAGGATCACTGTTACTATCAATAGAAAGTTGTCAATCAGTTCAGAGTCATTGCTCTTGTGATGTATTTGAAGAAGAATATATTTATACTTTTTTTTATACTTTTTTATATTTTTTTTATATATATATTACTTTTTTTGCAAATTTAAGGAGGGTAAACTCTCTATGTACCTGAAAAGTGCAAGAGACAGCTGCCTGGATTTGGTTTGGAATCAGATCACCCTGAGCTAAATTTGGACATTTGACCAAAGAATTGAATTAATAATTTGTCTATAGAATATCTTTATTACTAGAACACAAAGGATCTCCATACTTGCTATGCAGGTACATAATTAGGAGACAGTGTCATTGCATTTGACCTGACCTACAAATGTATGATTTGACCTTTGAACTACATTGTAGTTTAAGTTAATTACTTGTCTGTTGGGAGCATCAGCTTTCAATTCCATTATATGTATTGAGAACAGGTCATAATCTCATTTCACTATTATAAACAATTATCTGTCTACTGCAAAATGTTTTGCCAAAGGGAAAATAAACATATATATATGTTATTTTTGTTTAATGATAGATTTAGAGTTACACTTTTTTGCGATTTTAGTAATCATTTAGTAAATCTCTGTTGTAGGTTTTGGTTGTGGCTTTGTTTTTGCTCCTTGTGCAACAATTGTGAGTTTTTATTTCAAGAAAAGACAAGCTCTCGCTAATGGAATTGTCATATCTGGAAGTGGACTGGGCAGTTTTATTTTTCCCTACTTTTATCGGTTCATAATAGATGAATTTGGTCTCCATGGCGCCTTGTTAATTATCAGCGCGGTTGCTTTACACATCTGTGTAGGAGGAGCTCTTTTACGTCAACCACAGCAGCTTGCTAAATTTAAACATTCCTTGGACACAGTTGATGAAGAAACAACAGATCTTAACTATCAGGAATCAAGCAAAAATACAGCAAAACCGTCCAAACAAAAAGCTAAATTTGTGATAGATTTTTCCTTATTTAAGATTCCACGATTTAGTGTTTATGTGGCAGCTTTTACGATCAACATTATAGGATATGCTGGTAATTTTTCTGTCTTTCCAGCGCATGTTAAGTCGCTGGGATTCAGTGAGCAGCAAGTAGCTATAGCATTGTCAATGATAGGGGCAACGGAGATGTTTGCAAGGATCTTCTTTGGATGGTTCGCTGACAAGAAAATAGTTGAAAAGAAAACAATCGTCATTTTCTCAGCTGCTGTGAGTGGTGCAAGTGCCATTTTGATTCCCTTTCTGAGGAATTTTCCAGCCATGGTAGTGTATGGTTGTATCGTAGGGATATTCCCTGGTGCGTTCTGGAGTCTGATGGCAGTCATGATGTTGGAGTGTGTTGAACTTGAGAGACTCACCTCAGCCATGGGGGTTCTGTCCATGTTCATGTCTTTTGGAATAGTCATCAGTCAGCCAGTTATGGGTAGGTATCTGTTTTAGGGATCAGAAATGTCAATTTTCTTAAATAGCATATTGTTTCATACAGATATATAACCAGTTTTCAATTAAAGTGTGACTGTAAGTATTCTGTTATTTTTTTTTATTCTTTTCAAGTCTATACATGTTTGAAATTATTTTCAATTTAATAAAATGATAAGTTCATACCAACTCAATTGGTACTTCATTAGAATTTCATTTTAAATGTGTATTTAGAGGTCGTCATTTGAAATCCAAATTCTGGTCCTCTTGTTCATGATATATTTTTTTTATATACATTTTGACAACACTGACCTTTAAATGTTACTTAAATATGAAATGTTCTGTTTTCTTTCGTGATAAAGGATGGATCGAGGATGCTACCGGATCTTGGGACCTGTCTTTCAGGATCATGGGAATGTTCAATCTACTGTCTGGTGTATTATTTGTGTTAGAACCAGTGTTTAAGAAAATTATGCACAGTGGTATAAATTCAACAGATCATAATACAGGCGAGGAGATAGAGCTACCTGATCAAGCTAAAGAGATAGAAGTTACCTACCCGGCCAATGACGGGTCGTCACTGAAGGCAGAATCGTCTCAGGAACGTTTGTCTCTTATTTCATGTGAAGGAACTGCGCTTACAGAGTTAGGGAGTAATAATGGGAAATTTTAAGTACTGTTGACTAGAAAAATCAAACCGATGCAATAACATGTAAAGAGTTTGTGGTGTCTATGAATACTAGAAATGTGATAACGTTTAGAACAAAGCCTGTATGATCGAAAGTTTAGGTTTGAATTGATAGTGTAATTGTTATCAATATCGGAAATGAAAAAAATTGTATAAACAGGTGTGGAAATTATACAACTAAAGGAGAATTATTTTCTTCTTCGTTCCATTTCAAGCACCTGCAAATCAATATTTTTTTTATGAGATATATATTTTTGTGTGAATTTGCAAGAGAAATCTACATAAACTCAAACATATTGTGAATGTTTATACAAGGTAAAAAAAAAACAGTCTAAGGGCAGCTTATTTCATTCCTTTATCAAATTCAAATTCACCCACTTCCTGAAAACTTTCTATATTAAAAAGGATTTGCTAGTAGTGAGTCATGAGACCTAATTCAGTAGGTAACACTCTGTGATACCAAGAGGTATATATATATATATACGTATACAACATTTGATAATTTTAGATGATGGAGTATATTAATTTATTATTCTATCCCTTGGACAAAATGACTAATATAGTAGGAGCACAAGACCAGATTTCAATACACAATATTCCTTTATTCTAAAAGGTACTTGTATACAAAATATTGCAGTTGTAGGTGAAGGTGTATATGACATATATCATGGAGAATCTAATGTACCTTGATTAAAGGGCCATAACTCTGTTTATGATAGCATTAAACCCTATTTTAATAACCAACACTATGCCATCCCAGAAGGTACCTGCATTCAAAATTGACCAATGGTAGATGAGTATATAAGATATACCCCTGACAAACTACCAAGGTAATTGGTGCACAGACTGATTGATGGAGTGAAAACTGAAAGTCCTCTCCAAAAGGAGAAGTACAGAATTTTTAATTCTTTGGTAGAAAAATAGCAAACATTTATATTTGTAGAAAAAAAACCATGAGTTTAGTGGTTTACATTTATTCTCTTATTTCCACACTTTTGCAGCAATTTATGAAGTTGCACACATGATGGAGAGGAACAGCTCTCTAGTATGCAGGGAAACACATGAAACACGGTTTTATATTCAGTGTTTATTGTAATTATTAATTATCTATAAATCATATGACTGCAGTGATTTTATATAGAGAATTTATTGTAATTTAGCTCTACAGTTGTCAAATGTAGGATGCAGGGATTTTAACATTAGTATATAATCTGTAGCACGTAGGAATAGAATAATTTTATATATAGATGTTACCTTATTGAATTAGCCTTTGAACCTATTTGAATCAATGTACAGTATATTGCAGTTAATTGCAAATTGTTGAACTGCAATACAGGTAAAGAAACTTGACATTAAGAAGTGAAAGTGACCTGTTCCAAAGCAATGCACTAAGAATGGTTGAGCTCAGTTTCCAAGTAATTGATTATCCCTCATCAACTAAACTTGCATGGCTTATGTTTCTAAGGATGTTAATCACATGCGATGCTTCAGATGCTGCTTCTGACCTACATTTTACGCTTGACTGACCAGGTTAAGAACATTGGCTGAGGTCAGGCCCCATCTGCACTATGGTTAAGATTGGTTTAGGTCAATTACCAAGTAACTATATGTCCTATATCAACTAAACTTGCATGGCTTATGTTTCTAAGGATGCTAATCACATGCGATGCTTCAGATGCTGCTTCTGACCTACATTTTCCACTTGACTGACAAGGTTAAGAATATTGGCTGAGGTCAGGCCCATCTGCACTATGATTAAGAAGATTGGTTTAGGTCACTTACCAAGTAAAGCTTCTTCTACCAACGGCTTAGTGGATTTTACTTAAATTTGGTCTGGAGCATCCTTGGTGCCAAGGGGAATCAGTTTTATATAAACGGTGGGTGTGGCCCCCAAGGGGGCAGAGGGGTGAGTCATAAAAGGGGAAATAGAGGTAAAACCTTTAAAATCCTTCTGCCATAGGGATTAAAGGATTTTATCCTTGTTTAGTCTGGAGCATCTTTGGTGCCGAGGGGAATCAATTTTGTATAAGCGGTTGGTGTGGGCCCCCTGGGGGCAAAGGGGCAGGGCCCAATAGGGGAAATAGAGGTAAAACTTTTAAATCCTTCTACTACTGTTTGGATAAAGGGATTTTATCCTAATTTAGTCTGCAGCATCCTTGAACAAAGGGAGCTAAATTTCGTATAAGTGGTGGGGGTGGCCACCCTGGAGGCAAAGGGACAGGGCCCAATAGGGGAAATAGAGATAAATCCTTTGAAATCCAACTTCTACCATAGGGTTTTTCGGGATTTTATCCTAATTTTTTCTCCATCAAGTTGTTTGGTAGTGCCTGTTACTATTAGGGTTTTCTTTAAAGCAAAATGGCCACCATCTTTTGACATTTGAAGTTTGTTCTTGCTCTATCTCCAGAAATACTGGATGGATCTTTCTGAAATTTCTGATGTACATACAGTACCTACCATAGAGTTCTTATCAAGTACTTTAAACAGATCCAGGTGAGTGATACCGGCCCTCTAGTTTTTTATATAACTTTTGTTGAGAAGGAGATGAAAATCATATATTTCAATGAACAATATAATTTTACATCATAAACAGCATAGATATATGCTAATCAAAATTCTCATATAATAACAGTAATGATGTTACGAACCTTAAGTTGTTTTCACCTTCATTTTTCTTATAAAGCCAAAATTATTTTATTATATCCCAAGCAGCATTATAATATTTCTTTCATGTAACTTAAATATTTTTATTTATACATCCAATGTTTGAACAGTTAATATCTCAAAAGATGATATTAAATGTTGAATTAAACGTGTTTACAAATACGTGATAACCTTAATCATCTTTTGATTAATATACTGGACGTCTATTTCATATACCAGAAATCTTTATATTTTGTATGAACATGGAAGTGCAAACACAACACAACCCGACGTCCTCAGTTAGTGGTGCTTCATTCTTTATTTTTATTAGTACATCAATGTTTGTTGATTTTGTGTTATGTGTATGTATAGGAGCAGCCAAACATGTCACATATATATATTATCACAGGTTTTTATCATATTTCTGTTGGTCGTATCTGGTTTTATTTGTGACAGACTTGTTTTGTATATGGGTGTTATCAAAGTTATTTTTATACACCACATTGGTAGGAATATGTGATATGATTTTTCACTGACATAAGTATACATTTAAAGCTATTTTTAGTATCATCCGATACCTTTTTACGAGTAGGGATAAGTGGCCTTAGCTATACACTGCATAAGAGCTGACTGCAATGAGTCGACAACAATGTCATGTGTTGGTTACTATGGTTACCAGAATAATGTCCCTATGTGGGAAGCTCTATTCATCTCTAATGGTCACTCCATAGTGGTGTCAGTATGGACACTTAACTCATTCACCCCTGAAATTTCATAATGAACTAATCCAACCTTTGAATTTGAGGGGTTCAAATGTGTCTTCAGGAGTGAACGAGTTAAAGATCATTAAGACGGTGCTGTCTGTTTTTCTATTACGCCAAGAAATTGTCCCAATTAATATTCCCATACAATGTGTGAATTAAGTCACTTAATTAATATTGTGAAATGTTTGGTTTGATACTGGAATCTATCGTAAACATATGCAGCTTTTGTATAAATAATAAATGAACGTTACAGACTGATCACTCAAAAAGTACCTGCGCATTACACACAAGTTCACACAATACACGATTATTTACGGTAGCAGGACGTAATTCTGGTTGAACTTTATCGAATACCAAGCCTAAGCAAATAACATATTTTGATTGTATGTGTATTTGCTTATATTAATTTGTATATAATTATTCAAAGAAGTATAAGTAATATTCCATTAAATGTAAATCCTTTTTTTAGCTTATCAATGATATGAAATATTCATACTGTTTTACATAATACCTTGAACATTTTGTCCTGAATTTTATTTGTTGTTGTTATTCATCTGGTTTATCTGGGAACTTAATGTTTAATGCTTTATATGTTGTTAGTTGCCTTAGTCTTACCGACATATTACAGTTCATACACAAAATAGAATTCCTTTAATCAGTTATAGTTTTAAAGCAAAGACCGATACCTCCTTGTCTAGATTCCATACTGTCTTATACTTCTTCTTTATACAAAAAAATGTCAACAATTCTAAAATTGCCTAGTTTGTATGATATATGATAGGTTTAGTCGATCTGTAGGCAGCTTTTTGCCTAGTTTCTATAATATGTCATAGTTTTAATTGATGTAGGCAAGATTTACATGTATACTTGCCGAGATTCTACAGTTATTCCAATGTCTACAGTGCAATTTCACATTTCGTACCATAGTTAGCAGCAATAATCTAACGTTACATTACAATGATAATGTTCATTGGTATCACTTGGAACTCTACATATCAAACCCGTAACATTTTGTATGATTTATAAGTAAACTAGTCATACAGATGGTGCCAAAATTTTGATAGAAATCCGTTGTTGATAATGATATATTTTCGGAGAGAATATATATGTAGTAAATATTTTTGTTGTTTTATATAATAGTGCATATTGACGAATTGTTCTCAATTCTTTACTCTTCATCAGTCTATTAACTACAGTATCAACAGTACATACTTTAGACGATTTGGATGTCCACATTTTTGGCTCCTAGCATCACTGACGAGTCCTAGAAGGACAAAACCGTTGTATGATGCAGTGTAATTCATTTTTGACATACTATGTATACATGTTTACCCAATTCTAAAGGTGCAATCACCTGTGTGTGTGTTAGATAATTGATAATAATTGGAGGTTCTTATATACCGCTTTATCACAACCTAGTTCGTAGGTCGTCTCATAGCGGTTAACAAAATATTATCCGTGGTTATAGGGCCTTTGCAACCAGCCAATATCTTTCTCAACTCCCTGGGGAGCATACAGCTGGTGCTGCCATTTCGGCACTCACAGCTATCATTCAACAATTCTAGCACTACCCAACCACATACTCATTTACAGCTAAGTAGATTGGAACAAGCGATGAAGTATCTTGCTCAAAAATACAACACAGTGCGGTGCCGTGGCTTGAACCCACGACCCCGGCGTCCTACCACTAGACTACCGTGCCTCCTAGATAACAAATTTAAACATCTTTTAAGTCAAAGCTACCTTGATTATCCACAATATACAATGACACATGGAAAGCTGACTAACTTTGATAACATTGCCATTAACCTATTACTTTGAATATAATGAAGCTATTGAATTTTGTCTTTCGTTAATCTGTTTCACTCTCAAAACAAGAGTCCTATTAGACTGACGAAAAGGGATGTTCAAACAAATAATGTAATATCATGGGTCAAGTTTCGTTTAGCTTGAATAGCTTGGCAGACATCTCATAAATAGGAATTGAGATCCAGAATAACGATATGCTGTCGCTTCCGTCTTTCAGTTTTGTTTTAATATCATTTAATAGTTACAGAATTTCATTTGCTACACAGTAACACCTGATGCGTTTTGATCAGTTGGTATATATGAAGCTACACTTTAGACAAACGTGCATTTGACGCCTTATTAAGATAGCTAATTTGATTTACCTTTTACTCTTGAAAAGTAGTTTTGTATTCCGAACGGGATTGTTGCCAAAAAAAGAAGCACTCAAACACCTCTTTTCTTTTCTTAAATGTTTTGACAGAAATCATTTTGATTCACAGTAAATAGAAATGAAAGATTTAACACTACATATGTACATTATATTTAATTGTTTTTTTCTGCATATGTTTTATATTATAGATAATCATTGCCAAACTGTTGATATTGAGAAAGACTTGATTCATGGCTTACACAAGCAGTAGAAAAAATATTATAGAAATAGTAAGCACATACACGTATGCAATTCATTGTTTTTTTCTATTCAGATTTAAATATGTGTCCGTATTTCACAGAGAAAACACAGGTGAAGTTCTAGTCCTTACTGTTTCCCCTTCTAGTATAAAAAGTAACATTATAATTATATACAGCTTCTAGTCCGAACCCTCACAGCAAGCAAGTTTTTTAGATTGTAAAACAGACCATTTGTCCACATACCTTTGGTAGTAGTGTTGATATTTCTCAGTCCGTGAGGTCTAAAGTCAAATTATATTCAAACGAACTTGTATAATCGTTATATATATATATCATAAAATTATGTCAACTCTACAAAATTTGTCAATCATGTTATCAATAAACAATTTAAACACATATTACAATTGACTAAACATGTTTTACAATGAATATAACAATTAAAAATATAATATCATATGTGTTATAACAATATGAATATAGTTTTGTTATACATGATTGTATATATTGATGTTAGTTCATCCTATCATATCAATGTGATGTCTGTATTGTTATATTATTATTGTTAATGTTAGCATTAAGGTTATACTTCTATTGGAATAAAGAGTGATGATTTGTATATAGTTTAACAGTTCCTTGTTGGTTTTATTGTCCAATGATGTATAAGTAAGATTAATATTGCTACCTGTTGGTTCCCATCCTTATTGTTATATTTTGTAAACACTGTTTACAATGTTCGAAAAATGGCAAATCAGTTAACTAATATCAAAACAAACAGAACTGATGATTAAATAAGATAATGGGTTTTAATGGTTTTAAACTCATTAAGTGACGTAAATATATATAGCAACGAAGGAAAAAAAACAAGTTTAATCAAAACCGTAACTAGAAATAACAAGAGGCCCAATGGGCCTGCATTGCTCACCTGGTATTAATCTCACACTTGTAATCTTAAAAGTGGACTAAAATACAGCTACAGGCAAGTATCAGTGTTTGATTCACAAGAACGTATTAAAAGATTTAAACAAGAAGCATGTGTCCTTGAATGTCGAACAAGGACATAAGGTTGAAAGTGGGTCAAGGTCATTCATTTGAACAAACTTGGTAGCCCTTCATCCCAGCATGCTACAAGCCCAATATCAGTACCCTTGGCCTTTTGGTTATTGAGAAGAGGTCATTTGAAGATTTTAAGACATCTGACCCCTGTGACATTGAAAGTTGGTCAAGGTCATTCATCCCTGCGAGCTACAGGCCCAATATCAGTACCCTGGGCCTTTTGGTTATTAAGAAGGAGTGGTTTGAAGATTTTAAGACATTTGACCCCTGTGACCTTCAAAATTGGTTAAGGTCATTCATTTGAATAAACTTGGTAGCCCTTCATCACAGCATGCTACAGGCCCAATATCAGTACCCTTGGCCTTTTGGTTATTGAGAAGAAGTTGTTTGAAGATTTTAAGACATTTGACCCCTATGACCTTCACAGTTGGTCAAGGTCATTCATTTGAACAAACTTGGTAGCCCTTCATCACAGCATGCTACTGGCCAAAAATAGCATCATCCTAGGGTTATCGGTTATTGAGAAGAAGTTGTTTAAAGGTTTTTAACATGTTTGACCCCTGTGACCTTGAATATAAATAAAAGTCATTCATTTGAACAAACTTAGTAGCCCTTCATCCTAGCATGTTACTTGCCCAATATCATTATCCTAGGCCTCTTAGTTATTGAGAAGTTGTTTAAAGATTTATTAAGACAATTGACCCCTGTGACCTTGAAAATAGATGAAGTTCATTCATTTGAACAAACTTGGTAGCCCTTCATCCCAGCATGCTACTTGCCAAATATCATCATCCTGCAACTTTTTGTTATTCAGAAGTTGTTTAAAGTTTTTAACATATTTGACCCCTGTGACCTTGAAAATAGGTGGTCATTTATTTTAACAAACTTGTTAACCCTTCATCCCAGTTTGCTTTTGGCCAAATATCATCATCATAGGCCTTTTGGTTATTGAGAAGAAGTTGTTTAAAGTAAAATATTGACGCCGGACGGACGCCACACCATGGCATAAGCTCACTCGGCCCTTCAGGCCAGGTGAGCTAAAAATCAACAAAACTAAAGCAATACAAGGACTATGAGGGGGGAAACACAGCGACTATTTAAAAAGTACAAGGGAATAAGACCATTGCTCATATTCGTGAAACCGGTCTCATGCTCAAGCATGGATTCTGTGCTCAACCCAGCTTTTATGTAACTCGCTTAAATCATGTCAAACAATCAAAGAAAGTCAAATTTAAACATTGGAATCAGTATTCGTCTTTAAGTCTACTCAGTTTTTTTCCAAATGATTAACAAAACAAGATATTCAAATCATTTATAACCGGAACAAGAAATGAGGCTTGAGCACAAAATCCATGCTTGAGCACGAGAATGGTTTCATGAATACGGGGCCCGATGTTCCAGATGTCTTCTGCTTCATCGACTCTACCCGCTTCAAAGTGAAGTCACGTCCTCAAAGTGAAATCACCTCCTCAGAGTCAAGTCACATCCTCAAAGAAAAGTCACGTCCTCAAAGTAAAATCATGTCCTCAAAGTGAAGTCACTTCCTCAAAGTGAAATCACCTCTTCAAAGTCAAGTCATGTCCTCAAAGTCAAGTCATGTCCTCAAAGTGAAATCAAGTCCTCAAAGTCAAGTCATGTCCCGTGAAGTAAAGTCGCCTCCTCAATGCATATCTCGTCCTCAAAGTAAAATCACGTCCTTTTAGTGAAGTCAGTCCTCAATGTCAATTCACATCCTCAATTCAAGTCACATCTTCAAAGTGAAGTAACATCCTCAAAGTGAAATCATGTCCTCAAAGTGAAGTAACGTCCTCAAAGTAAAGTCGCGTCTTAAAGTGAAGTCACGTTCTGTGAAGTGAAGCCACTTCCTCAAAGTGAAGTTGTGTCCTCAAAGTGAAGTCGCATCTCAAAGTGACGTCCTCAAAGTCATGTCACATCCTCAAAGTCAAGTCACGTCCTCAAAGTGAGAACTGGGATAGTGACAACGAAACAAGGCACAGTAATTAGCAAAACCAAGAACATCCACATTCAAATCTCACAAGGAAAAAGACATTTCTGAGAAGAATCTCTTTGTATTCATCTCTCGAAACCCCTTGTGATTTGATTCGTCCACCAGTATTCGACATCTATCACAGAGAGAGTGATATTCGGTTCAGTGTAGTAATACACTAATCAGTGTCAAGGTACTGCATTACAAACATCTAAATAGGTCTCGTGTCTACAATTTTTAAATTTAATTTGCATTAACAACAAATTACAAACATCGCTATCTCCCCCGTCGCAGCCAGTCTCTTCATTTTGTTCATTTCAACCCGACATCATTTTGGTTGGTCACATGTTAGTCGTACCAACGCAGACTTCATCTCGTTTGGCCCACCAGAAGGACATATCAACGCCAACATCATCTAGCAAGGTCAACAACAGAATGGTCACATTATCTTGACTTGTTTGGTATTAACGTTGACACTTGAATCAAGCATGCTCGGTAACACCTTTGATAGTTGAGTTGAGTATCAACTATGTCTACACAAAATCAATTCTTGAAGAAGATGCATTCATACCCGAATTTTTGTGAATGATTGCATTAAAATACATATGTGGCTTCACAAACAACGCTTCATTTCTCAGATGTACATATCAATTACCAATTCATGCATATTTTGCCTTTTACCAGTTTACAAACTATAATCAAAAGTATTCTAAGGTTTATTTTATTTTCTATTTTTGTATTCAATTTTATATTCAATTTTTTTCCAACATCAACATATGACTTTAACAGCAATTGATTATTACAAAGCATACTCTGGAATATTAATACATGTTTAATTCTTTATCTTCACACCCCAGTGTTTTGCATAGTTTTCACAATTGTAAATCGTGGACGCTTACCCTTCCGGAACACCTGGTCTGATTCTCCTTGTACTTTCCTAAGGTCTCCATGGAAACCTTTATTTTGTTTATATCTTCCCTAGTTTTGTCGATTTTGAGTTCAAATTATGGTTTTGATGACACTTAAAGATGTATTTTGTTTTAGAGAATATATATGAAACTATTTATGACAGTGCGAAACCTTGAGTTAAGGTACACTGACCAAGCAGTTTTTATTATGAATTCAAATAGGGACACAACAACTCGCACAATCTGTGTGTCTCAACAAGGGAGTCTGCTTTATTCGTGTAGGTGCACATTCCACATATGATAGCATAAATGATGTTTAAACAAAACACATAATGTACATCGCGTGGAACTATTAATTAATTAATCGTCAAGGAAATCTGCTTTATTTCTGAAATTGCACCTTCCACATGTGATTGCATTTATAGATGTTCAAACAAAACACACATAATGTACATCGCCTGGACCTATTTATAAATATTCTTTAGCCAACAATGACGGCGGAAAGGGAAGGTGTTGATGTAATTTATTCCCAACCCGAGTCAATTTCTCTTCAAGATATGGACCTGCATGACCAAGAAGAATCTATCAGAACTAATACACAACAAGATCACCCATATCAATGTACTCCTGAGTGTCTGGGTTGCCTTTGCTAATTATTTGTTTATCGCCATGTATGTTACTATAACTATGTCATGCACACTTTTTCGTTTAATCTTCCTTTTGCGCTCATGTGCATTGCCTCAACGAATCTGTTAACATTATTAACAAGCTGTTTTATATTTTCAACTAGACCCACATCAAACAACTGAACCTGAAAGATATATTTATTAAAGGCCTATCCCAGCTACAGGTCAAATTTAAATGCTGTAAGCTAACTAAGTCAAATGATGTAAGCTAGTTATAGGTCAAACGATGTAAGCTAGCTTTAGGTCAAATGATGTATTGTAAGCTAGGTATAGGTCAAATGATGTAAGCTAGCTATAGGTCAAATGATGTAAGTTAGGTATAGGTCAAATGATGTAAGATGGTTCAAGGTCAAATGATGTAAGCTAGGTATAAGTTTACCTATGTAAGCTAGTTATAAGTCAAATAATGTAATTAAGCTAGCTATAGGTCAAATGATGGCATTTAGCTAGCAATAAGTACAATAGGCTCAATGGCCTTAACGGTCACCCGAGTCAATTTAATTCTTAAGCAGAAGAAGAAATTTGGAAAGTATGCCAAGTTATAATCATTTCCACACAAAATAATATGAAATATAAACCAAAGTATTGTTTCCCTGTAAACTATAGTTAACTTTACCTTCTTCCCAGGGTCAAGGGAATGAATGACCCTGGGGTTATGAGAATTACAGTTTTGACAAAATCCATTCATCAGTTCTTATGAAGACAAAATTGTTAAAACTTGACATAAGAAAGGATGACAACGGATAAAATGTGTTTTGAGTTACAGTCACTTACAATTCAGGTGATCGAAAAAGTTCTTTCTAGGTTTGGCTGTAGGGTTAAGAAATGTCCACATCAATGCACCTGATGTTGGTGAAACAAAATTTCCTTTTGTTGTGGCCTTTTTGTAATAATCCAGGCGCCCCTTCAGTTCCTGATGTAAACCTGACTTGTCAAGATCTACCACATTATGCAATTTTTTCTGAGTAAAAGTAACGAAATTTAAGAAAAGCCAAATGACAACTATGGTCATGACATTCAGCTGGTCTGACATCTCACCTGGACACCACAACTCCAGATGTTCCTGTATGTGTAGTAAGTAATCGTTTTCAGAGTCATACAGACAAATAGTAACATGTTCTGATGTGGTTCCAAAAGTTGGAATCAAGAAATGGGATAGTGCTGTGCTATTCATGTTAACTTGAGCAAATCCATTTGTTATAGCTTCGGCCAAGATTTGTTTCATGACTTTTTGATCGAGGAGAATATTGTCATGTTTCTTTGCAGTTTTTTCCTTAACACAGATCCCACAACTGTCCATCTTTCTTTGTTTACTTCTAGGCTCGTCTTCGTTGGAATCTTCACCTGAATCATCAGTTTCGCCCTCGTCATCCTTGTCTGTAAGTTCCTGTAGAAAGGCCACAGCAATTGTATGGTTCAAGAGGATATCGACTCTGCCATGCCATGTTCCCAGTGACCCTGTTTAAAATATATGGCCAAGGTTATCAGATTTGGTTGAAAAGAAAAAGTAGTATTTGAAAGATTTATAATAAATTCCCTAACTACACCCTCTGCCCCCACCCTCTTTTTATATACTATTGAGTCCCCTTCACCCTACAATGCTCAAGACCAAATTGGAGAAAATCCCTCGACCACAGGTATTTGCCTTGAAAAATAGGACGGAGAAATACTATACACATAATATACTGAACAGTCACTGAACCTCAAAAAAAGACATCTCTGAAGTTGGTTGGTTTCCAGCTTCCTAATTTCAGAAACATCCAATGTAAATTTAAAACACATACATCATCATTAGATAAATACCTATTCTTTAAGGGGGAGCTACAAGCCATATGGCATATCCACATGCACAACCAACTTACCTGAATCATATACCAAAATGTAATAGAACATAAAGGGCATTTATAGACAATAATAATTGAAAAACAAAACTTACAATTCTTCAAGAGCATACTCAAATTTATTGGATGGTTGCATCCCTATCATACACAAGCCAAGTCCTAAAATTCCACTACTTTATTTTTTAATTGCTTCAATCCATAGTCTATGAAAACCTAAAAAGAATCTCACTGAAAATCTATTCACAGTAAAATACTCAGTTTTTGACCAATCCTCTTGAAAGTTGGTAGGCTTTATCGTCTTGACATATGGTTGGGTTTTCCTAATCGTAAATTGTATTTGAAAATTTCTAAAAGAGTTATTGTTTTTTTCATTTTAATCTTGTGCAGAGAATTTCTCCCTCAGGTTTTGACAGACCTTTTTGAAACTTGCTTGGCTTTATCATCACAACTAATTTTGACATGTTTAACCTTGAAAGAAGGGTAAAGGTCAAATTTGTTTGAAAACTTTGTCAGGCTTCATCACAGCAAACTACTGGCCAAATACCATGATCCTAGGTAATTAAAATCTTCATCAGAAGTCATTTGAAGTTTTGACTTATTTGACCCCTGTGATCTTGAAAGTAGGTCAAGGTCAAATTTGTTCACAAACTGTGTTGAGCTTCATCCAAGCAAGCTACTGGCCAAATACCATGATCACAAGTATTTCCATTCTTCAGAAGAAGTTGTTTGCAGATTGAAGAACCGATTATTTCACTGATTATCCTATCGGAAAGAGTATCCGATTCCAACCGATCTTCAGTTGCAGTTTTTGAAACAATTACCCAACACTGGTACGAACATGTAACACGGACCACTCTACCACCTAACTGTGCCAAGGAAACTCATACCATGCATTAAGCATATATTATCCCATTATGGTTATTGGTTGGTGACCTCAACTGTTTCCTTTTATATCACTATATAAAGTGATAGTAATGTCACAACATTTATTATCTTACCTAATGAAGTATTTCCTTCACAAATCCTGGCCTTACAGCCACAGTCGCATTGTTTTGGTATTTGCTTTGCATATTTATCGACCTCATACTTCTTCCCTGGTACCAGCTGGGAAAACAGGTGATGGGCCAAGGCAACCATAATATTTGTCCCTTTACTTCCATTTGTTGGAGCCAACGTTGTGGTCAGTTTCTGTATTGCCTTTTCATGTTTTTTTCTTTTCTGAAAAAGGAGCATAAGTAAATAAGAGACCTAAAGGGCCTGCATCGCTCACCTGATATTAATCTCACAATTGTTACCTTAAAAGTGAACTAAAATAAAGCTACAGGCAAAATATCAGTGTCTTGACTTAGTCATTCAAAAGAACCTGTTAAACGATTTATACTTATTTGACCCCTGCAACATTGAAAGTTAAACATGGGCATTAAGTTGAACAAACGTTATAGCCCTTCATCCCAGAATGCAAATTGCCAAATATCACCACCCTATTTTTTGTTGATTAAGAATAAGTCATTTAAAATTTTAAAGATTTCAACATATTTGACCCCTGTGACCTTGAATATGGACAAAGGTCATATATTTGAACAAAACTTGGTAGCCATACATTCCCACATGCTCCTGGCAAAATATTATCACCCTGGGCCTTCTGGTTATTCATCAGAAGTTGTTTGAAAGTTTTTTAAGATAATTGACACATGTGACCTTGAATGTAAGCCAAGGTCATGCATTTGAACAAACTTGGTAGCCCTTCATGCCAGTATGTGATTGGCCAAACTTTATCATTCAGAAGGAGTAGTCCTTCCTCACAGCATGCTACTGGACAAATACGATCACCCTAGGCCTCTTTGTTATTGAAAACAACGGACGGACGACACACCATGGCATAAGGTCACTTGGCCCTTCGGGCCAGGTGAGCTAAATGTACTATCATAGACATCTTTCAAGTTTTGTATTATGGATTAATAGACAGTAGCGCTAGCCTATGCCAAGAGTATCAACTTCAAACATTACAATTAAAACGCATAATTAATTACCTTGTGTAAAAAACATGTTTTTGTGCAATATTACAGTGGCAGTGTGAAAGGATGCGTAAAAGGTCCCCCAATACAAAATATTCCATATTTGTATACATGAAACTAATTTAGCCTGAGTTTCCTCTGGCTCTGACACCAGACTTAGATATTTGGACAGAAATAATATAATATGTCTGGTCAGGGTAGTAACTAGTCAACCAAGAATGATATATTCCGTTTTTCGGTCGAATCAGTACAATTTGTTGATTAGTCGACCCCCTGACCTACAAAAATCGACCCCCTGACCTACAAAAATCAACCCCCTGACCTACAAAAATGGCGTTTGCGCAGGTGGGAAATTATGAACGATTGTAAATTGAGGACTCTTCTCACAGAATTTAGCAGCTGTTGGAGATAAGAAGAGCAGATTTGGATCAATAAATAATTCATTTATCGATATATTTGAGGTATGTGTTGTGTCATAGTCAATTTTTGTCGGCACATCAAAACTCACTTTATGATTGACATGAACGGCACTTGTAACGTGACACACACTGTTCTGTAGCCTAATGTGTTGATCCTCAACACTCAGTAACCTGGAGTGGGTGACGGCCCCCGACATCCCCAGGTGACTTTAATCCTTTTCACTTGAGCGACACCAGTCACCCGCGGAGCATTTGAGTACAAATTCACCTGGCGAGTACTATGGCAAGCCAAGTTGTCATTTATTCATGGAGCAATGTTGATCCATTACTTCACCAAATTATATAAGATATCTTATATATTATATAAGATTTATCATATATTGTATAAGATTTCTTATATATTATATAAGATATCTTATACAAGAAGCCCAGAGGGCCTGTATCGTTCACCTGGATATCTAAGCAATCATGGCAAAATATTCTCCAAATGAGATCCAAGGGAATATGCCAGACCCCAAGGCCAATCCAGGATCAATTCTAATATCATGACTGCATTCGTCTCTTTTTGCCCAACATTTGTATTTATCGTTTTGTGGTGGGGATCTCAACCATTTCTAAGTTATGACCCAAGGGTTAAGTCTGCAAAGGTGGGGCAGACCCTGAGATCAATTCTAATATCATGACTGCATTCGTCTCTTTATGCCCAACAATTGTATATATAGTTTTGGGGTGGGGATCTCAACTGTTTCAAAGTTATGTCCAGGGACTAGTTCCCCAAGGGTGGGGCCAGACCCCATGGCCATCCTGGAGGCAACTGTGCATTCTTCTCTTCATACTCAGCAATTGTATATATGGTGATACAGTGGGGATCTCAACCATTTCCAAGTGCTAAACTTATTTTGGCCCCACTCCTTAGCCCGGGGGTTCAGCCCCCCCATTTGTACAATTTTGAATCTCCACCACCTAGGGATGCTTCCAGTCAAATATGGTTGATATCCATCTCTTAGTTCCAGAGAAGATGCTTAAAGCAATATAGCCAAATTGCCCCCTTTTGGCCCCGCCCATCAGCCCCCTGGGGGGTCAGCCCCACCATTTGTACAATTTGGAATCCCCACCACCTAGGGATGCTTCCAGTCAAATATGGTTGATGTCCATCTCTTAGTTCCAGAGAACAAGTCGCTTAAGGCAATATAGCCAAATTGCCTGCTTTTGGCCCAGCCCCTCAGCCCCCTGGGGGGTCAGCCCCACCATTTATACAATTTTGAATCCCCATCACCTAGGGATGCTTCCAGTCAAATATGGTTGATATCCATTTCTTAGTTCCAGAGAAGTCGCTTAAAGCAATATAGCCAAATTGCCCCCTTTTGGACCCGCCCCTCAGCCCCCTGGGGGGTCAGCCCCACCATTTGTACAATTTGGAATCCCCACCACCTAGGAATGCTTCCAGTCAAATATGGTTGATATCCATCTCTTAGTTCCAAAGAAGAAGTCGCTTAAAGCAATATAGCCAAATTGCCCCCTTTTGGCCCAGCTTCTCAGCCCCCTTGGGGGTCAGCCCCACCATTTGTACAATTTTGAATCCCTACCACCTAGGAATGCTTCCAGTCAAATTAAGTTAAATTCCAATCAGTGGTTAAGAAGAAGAAGTCGTTTAAAGAAATTGTTGACGATATCTTATAAACTTAATAAGATATCTTATATACTTTTCTTTATAAGATATCTTTTAAACAAAATTAAATAAGATATCCTATATAATTCGGTTATAAGATATCTTATAAAGAACGATATTTGAAATTGAGATAATAAACCCTCCCCCACAGCACTCGATCGTTACCTATCGATAACCAAGGGGATCCGAGAGGATTTGATCGAAAATGGCAGCCTCAGTACTACTATCCATGTCCCCAAAGGACCAACGTCCTGACTATGCAGAGTTCATCTTTGACGCAATATGCACGTTTCCATGAATCGCCTTCTATGAAGCATTTTCTCACTTAGGCCAGTTTGTTATCTATGGCGTCGTTCTCTTTCTAGCTTGCGAATGGATAACGCACACGGAAATGCATTCATAGCGACAAACACTCAGAATGTCAAGGGTGTTCCCATGAATAAATGAAAGGGTTGTATGTTAGATTTGCTTCCTGTATGCTTAATATGTCCATCCTCTTTAAATTAAGTTATTATTAACTGAGAATCGCATTTTATCGGGGTTCTTGCACAAATTACTCGACAATCAATCTGTTGTTTCTTGTTGTTTATTACATCATTTGCAAAATCCCTAAAATAATATAAAAACACTAGTTGTACAATACAGACACATATTAGACATATTGCTAATCGAGCACACCGAACATTAACTTTTACAATACATAACGCAAACAATGGAATATTTAAAAGGACGAGAACACAATTCTATGACTTCTATAAAAGATGACCTAACCAGTTTAACGAAATATGGAATTAGGGTATCGTTACATACAAATATAAATTATGGAACATTCTCAGTATAGAATGTAACTTATATTTTACTTTTACTCGCAACTAATTTAAACAAAAGAATGCATGTAAGTCTTAAATAATAATTTACCCAATAATACTAAATTAATTAAATATACATTCTGTAAATGACTTACCCTGCAGTGCTGAGGATATTTTTAGATGAATTATCAATCGAGCATACCACGACCATCGATGATAAATAAACTTCAGGCAATAAATGTAGGTCCGACCCCTTGTACTTCTCTAGGTGTAAATTTTTAAAGTGCCCAAGTGAAGAAAGAGAGAGAAAAGAGGGGGGAAAAAAAAAGCGTTGCATTGCACATGCATGTTCAAAGTGGTCAGTCCGGTCACCAAAAGAATACAACACATAACATCACTGTGTTACACACATATATATACTTATACAATGTGCATAACACTGGCCATAATAACAAGTATCCGGAAAGCGAAAGTACAGGTTACGTGATACAGCGGCACGAACGGAAAAGCCAACTCACTTAAACAAATTTCGAGGATAAAGTATTTATTTTCTTTCACATCCAAATAATTAAATTGAAGCCAAAAGATATGATACTTATTACAACAGGGTGCAACATTATGTTAACCTGTTAATAACCTACCACGCAGGAATTCCAACAACGTCATGAATGCGTGTACAGAGTCGGTGTATTTCTCGATGGCTTTAACTCCATCTGTTACAAAATCTTGAAGAACAGATACATTAAGAATGTCTTTCAAGAAAACCAGTCCACACGTTGGAACTCCGCCTGCATAATTGTTTTGAATTGCCTCCCGAACTTCGTCAATTTGTTGAAGATAGATCGATGCATCGCTGAACGTTGTCCCCTCCCCAGCATTACTAGCTTTTATCATCAAGTTATAGAATCCATGCCGGAAATCATTTGTAGTGACAACCCATGTCAAAACTTGTTTTGCAATTGCCTCCTCTTCAGAGCCTATATAGTCATTTAGGCATCTCCTTAATAGGTTTGAATTTGGAGTGTTTGTAGCCATTTTCTGACGTCATGCATTGCGCATGCTCGGGGGGTTGGGGTAAAACTTGTGAGCCGTTCCAGGCCCCGAGACCGGATAAACTTGAAATCTTCGATATTTATTTCTGAAATTATTTCCTGAATATGAAAAAAAAATGAACAAGGGTACCGAAAGACGGTACATAATACGCCTGTTATATATTAATTGAGTTAAATGGTAACTGGTGCAAAGGAGAATTTTTTAATTTATCAGTGAAAAACAAATGGGTATCCCCCGTAAATTAAAATATACTCTTAACCAGAGACATATAAAGCCATAGTATATATACGTCTCTGTCTTAACCGATGTATACTAAATGAAGTATATATATAGATCCTACATTCTTCCAAAATCTAGACTATTGCTTATGGGATGGTTGTTCTCGTGCCGAGATATATTAGAGAAGTTACAACTGGAGGCTGGACGTATTGGTCAAGTTGGTTTACCTTCCTACACTAGTAGACGATCTATACTTTACCAAACAGGATGGGAATCTTTATCTCAGCGGAGATCCCGTCATAAACTTCAATTATTACTCCTAATTATATCAACACTCTACTCCCTCTTCTTGTATCAGAAAATTCACAACACAATTTTAGAAACTCTGACCTTTATAACCTGCCTAACAATGGACGTGAGTCATACAACATGTCTTTCTTCACTTCTACAATAAGACTTAGGAATTAGTTACCCTTTGATATTCAACACTGTGTATCATACCACGGACTTAGATAGCATCTGATTCCTTGATACTGGCAGAGACGTATATATGTAGGTTGAGGATTTATATCTAGCTCACCTAGTTAATGACCAACGTCGTACTTGTGGTTCTGCTTTTGAAGATGCCTACCATTTCGTTTTTAATTTTAATAACTATATGTCGTACAAAGTTAAGAGCAACCCTTTTCCGAGAACTCAATAAATATATGCATCTTACCCTGCACCTTCTTCTGTCCGGAGACACTGTGATACTCTCTGATCCCGAAAACAAACTTATATTTATGCATACTCAGCAATATATTCACGACACAAACAGATTACAATCATCCTTTTACCTCTATCTTCTCTCCTCTCAGTACAATGCTGAGTAATTTTGTTTTGAAACCGTGAGCTGGGTTGTATCTAATTTGGTCTTTCCTGATTCAGACGGCGAAGGCGAAACGGATATTTAAGGACGACCGGAATGACAAGGGGGTAGCTAACCATGGCACGGAATGTGATGAACGTTTGTATAGTTCAGTGTATGGAAAAGCTATATGAGGGAACCAAAACATGAAGATTCATATTTTATTGGGAGTCTTCCATTAAGTGTCAAACTGCTTCAATTGGTTAACTATGGTATATTTACAGCGATATTCATGTCGATAGACTTTAACTTTTAGTGGTTTTTTGACTGCTTTCTGTGTTCATCATCTGCAATGGACGAAAGCATCCGGGTCCTCTCTGACGCCATGATCAGTATTTTTCCTCTCTATGCTTTGCGGAAGGCTCTTTGGAGCATGTCTTTCCCAATTCCTTACACCCGTAAAGATGTTGGTACTGGCGTCCCTTTCTTATACCATAGGGTTTGTCGGGTTGACTGTAAGTATTGTTGTCCTTGCTATTGTAGGTATATGGGTTTTGAGCGTCGTTTGGTCAAGTCTGCTGAGTTCCAATTAGTCAACGCCAACTTGATTCCAGTACGCGGTAAAATATATGTTTACTTAATGATTCACACTTTCATTAGGGCAGTCTTAGGTCCGTTATTGTTATGGTACTTGATGGAGGGTATCCGTTATCTCTGCTTAGTTAAATCTATTGTTAGTATCCTTAACGTATTGTTAATGCTTCTCTATAGGAAGGCAGTCTTACACAACACCAAGAAACGCCATCCACACCGCGCCACATGATAACTTGCCTCCAAATTCTACGGTTGGGTCGAATGTTTAAGTTACTTTTTTATCCAACTTTTTTACACAATTTATTTTCTGATCTCTTCTTTCTTTAATGTAATATAATGAGTAACGTCCTCAATTTTTGAGAAAACGAANATTGATTGTTACGTCATTGGTTTGTATGAGAAAATTATGTCGTTTTATGTTTTCTCCAAACCAATGACGTAACAATCAATACCTGCTCACAAGAGAAGATAACTCAGCAATACGCAAAGACGGAATAACAAACCAGACAGATGATCTTGTGTGACCAAATTGAAAATATACCTTTAATATGAAATATGCCTATGTTTGTTATGAGATGTACATTTCTTTCACAATCACTATAGGTTTCCTCAATCCCGACTCGTGTGATATCCCTGCTAGAAGCTGGTAAAAATGTTCGGTTACTCACCAGTGACCATATTTCACTGATCAATCTTCTTAGTATGGCGTCGAGTAAAAACAATCTTTGCAACGTAATCTTCCATTGTGACGTCATAGTTATAGTTTCCTTGATCGGACACTTGATCATTATAGCATTAATGTATTCCCGAGAGAAACATATATGGTTTTCTAGATATAATTCCTGAATATTATGGGGGAGAAAAAGGACCCCAAACTCTTGATCGTTGATTATCATGTTCATCTTACCCTCCATAGGTAAACCTCGTGTCTTTATACAATTTGAAAATTACCTTAATCGAGTTAGATAAACATGACTACCACCATCACTCGTTGTGGAACCTCTATTTTGCATGTCTGTAAATCCATTCGTAAGATGTTTGTGTAGGTAATAGTAGTGGAAATAAAATATTGATGTTTTATTCTTAAGTTCTTACTTGTTATTGCCAACAAATAGCTTGCAAAGTATCGGCTTTGTGTACGCTACAGGTATATATTCTACTGTTTCCCTGGACTGTTCTGCATTAGTTAGCTGATAGTACATCAGCTTCGCTAGCCAGGGGTAAGCGTAAGTGAGCATTATAACCCCTGGAGTATCGAGGATGGTAGTACTTGTAACTTATACTGGACTCATGCTTTTTCATAAAACAGTCACATGAACTGAGGAGAGTTGGCCATGCTTCTAGATACAAGTTATATGTTGTTCCGAATTTGAAGTTTCTTTATAAGTTGCTTTTGTAATTTGCCTTTAAGTTACTATGTAACTAAAAATGATCAATAAAATATTGAAATTGAATTGTAACACCAACGAATTGTTCGGTTCTTTTTATATTGCCCACCCCTTTGTTGAGGCTAATGAAGGATGTTGGTATTCCATATAACTATATTAACAAATGCAACATGTATTTACGACCCGATTTTATTTTAGTTTGGTGGCAAGATTTTCCAGCAGACTGCAGGCGTTTGTATTGGTACGAACTGTTCGGTCGACTTGTTATCTCACCTAGAAAGGCCGAGTGAGCTTATGTCATGGTGCGGCGTCCGTCGTCCGTTGAAGGGCTACCAAGTTTGTTCAAATATATGACCTTCACCTATATTCAAGGTCACAGGGGTCAATTGTCTTTTAAATCTTAAAACAACTTCTTCTGAATAACCAAGAAGCCTATAGGATAATGATATTTGGCCAGTAACATGCTAAGATGAAGGGCTATGAAGTGTGTTAAAATGAATGACCTTTACTTATATTCAAGGTCACAGGGGTCAAACATGTTTAAACCCTTTAAACAAGTTCTTCTCAATAGCCAATAGGCCTAGGATAATGATATTTGGCCAGTAGCATGCTGTGATGGAGGGCTATCAAGTTTGTTCAAATGAATGACCCTTACTTATATTCAAGGTCACATGGATCAAATATGTTTAAACCCTTTAAACAACTTCTTCTGCATACCCAAGAGGCCTTGGATAATGATATTTGGCCAGTAACATGCTGGGATAAAGGGCTACCAAGTTTGTTCAAATGAATGACCTTGACATACGTTCAAGGTCACAGGGGACAAATATGTTTAAAACCTTAAAAAAAATCTCCAAAGCAAAAGGCCAAGGGTGATGATATTTGGCCAGTAACATGCTTGGATGAAGGACTATGTTCAAATGAATGACCTTCATCCGTTTTCAAGGTCACATTGGTCAATATATGTTTAAATCTTTAACTGACTTGTTCTGTATAACAAAAAGGTCCAGGATAATGATTTTTTGCCAGAAGCATGCTGGGTTGGGAGACTGTAAACTCTGTTCAACTTAATGTCCTTGTTCAACATTCAAGGTCACAGGCGTCATTTGTTTAAATCGTTTAATAGGTTATTATGAATCAAACACTGATATTCTGCCTGTAGCTGTATTTTAGTCCACTTTTAAGATTACAAGTGTGAAATTAATACCAAGTAAGCGATTTATACCCTTTGGGCCTCTTGTTTTTCTTTTCGTATGAGCCTGAATTATTGATGAGCTAATACGGACCCGCAACAAAATCCTAGCCATCCTAGTTATATCAACGATGCGCCGTCTCTAAATTACAAGAACTTTATTGACTAAGTCGATCTAGTATATCATCTTGAGCATGAAACCAATAACAATACAATTTACTTACATGAATGGCTTACTTTTTAACTGTACGATAAGCGGGACGACTTCGATTTTCGTATCGTGAAGTTTCTCTTTCTTGATAGTAACATCCCTCTATCCCTAAACTAAGGTGTTTGTACTTGTCGCAGTTGATTCGGCATTAAAGATCTTGCGCTGAATTCTACTTCTGCTTCTACAGGGTACTGACCAACTTCAACAATTTGAAGATTAAAATCAGAGGAGGGTTTAGATGGGAAGAGGAAAGTCTTTTGACATAAATAATTTAGTCTTTTAGAGGCTTGATTTAAAAGAGTTTGTTGTCAGGCTAGATACAGTATCAAGAGGGAGTTTACTCCACTCGGATCTAGTTCGAGGGAAGAAAGTTTCTTTTCTAGACAGGGTCTTGGAAGAAGGTATTTGGAAAGAGAGCTCGTTTCCATATGCCTGGATTTACAGACAGGGGGAATAAGTCTGTCAGATTTTGCAACAGCAACTTCACCTTTGACAATATTGTAAAACATGGTACAGTGTAAGACGAGCATCTCTACGTCTATCTGCTAGGCGCAATTTAGACATTTTAGACACACTTGAGATACAGTGATTGTACCTGTGCTTATAAAGCGCGTAACGCAGCCCTTATACGTTTTTCAATATTTGTTTGGGTGTGAGGGTCCCATACTGTGCAAGCATATTCTAGTGATGGTCGTACTAGAGATTTATATGTCTGCACTTTGGCTGATGTTGAGCCAATTTTACGATTTGGTCTCAAGAAGGCTAAGGTGGAATTCGCCTTTGAGCAGATGTTATTTATATGGGAGTTCCATTTGAAGCCAAATCTTAGTGCGACACCCATATACTAAGCCTGACCTACATGTTCTAAAATATGTGCATGTACATATAGGTTGTAATTATGGATGATAACACATTACATTTGCTTGGGTGGAAAGTCATTTTCTATGTATTTTCCCAGGGCGCCATTTTGTCGAGGTCTTCCTGCAATGTTAAAGCATCACTGTTTGACTTGACAACCAGATAATGTTACAATAGTGTCCTCTTCAAATAAACGAACTGTAGCATTTAGACCCACAGGGATGTCATTTATGCCCCACATGCTACAGAGTGGGAGTTACAGACCGGGAGTGTGTACCAGTTACACCAGTAGATGCGCCAATATTATATGTAGTAGTCGAAGACTAATGATATGACGTCGACAACGGTGAGTTAACAGTGAGTTATTTATAAAAAGAGTAATAAGCTGGGTCCAATAGCCGATCCCTGGTGTACTCGAGAATGGACATTGAGAGTGACTTCTAATCTTCTACTACTACTGTTTGGGTTCTACCAACCTGGACACTTTCATTCCAGTTTGTAACATTGTCCCTTATACCATTATGTTTTTCGGTACGATTTCACCATATTACGATTTAAAAAAAAATCTTTACCAATTGTAGACAGCTTAACATTTAGAGGGAGTTTTTTCATTCATGAAGTGGAGAGACACCACTGTATGCCTGTAATAGAAAGGGCAGTCTATAACAGGAGGTAAGTCTTCTTGGAATAACTGAAGATTCTGAATAATCTGCCGAGAAGAAAGGTAGTCTTTATTCCGTCTTTGCGTATTGCAGAGTTATCTTCTCTTGAGAGCAGGTATTGATTGTTACGTCATTGGTTTGTGTGAGAAAATTACGTAGTTTTCTCAAAAATTGATGACGTTACTCTCACAAACAAATGACGTAACAATCAATACCTGCTCTCAAGAGAAGATAACTCTGCAATACGCAAAGACGGAATAGCCAGTTATTAACTTTCGTTAATATTAACATATATATATGTATGTACTGGTTGATGAGACCCTTACGGTAGGGACGATTTATAGATCTCCCATCTAATAAAAATACGTTTCAATACATTGGATATCGGCATGTGTTATCTGTTTTCTTTGCCTAGGCGCAAATGGTCTTTCTCATTGAAAGTTGATTGTAACATCATATAAATCGTTTCCATGACGTCATTCCTTTGACCGTGTTATGACGTCACGTCATTGTGCTATCTGTCCAATCTAAGGGAGTGTCACAGAAATCTTGAACAAGTAAAACGGGAGACAACTAAATATTTTGCTTATCAAAATCTAGAAAAAACTTATCACATGCTCCAGGTAACAAAGGTCATGCAGTCAATTATCACTACATTATATTTACATTCTGGATGCTTAGACCCATTGACAAAAATTACATTCATAAATGCATAACACAGGTGTTCATAGAATCTCAGCACGTGGGAACTTATAGTAACCTGATCACACTGCGTAGTAATACACTACACAAACTACTCTCTCGGAACGACCGAACTGGATGCTTAATTCTTACATCTAAAAATATTATTGAACTGTGCTTTGTGAAATATCCACGTATTCACGTGTCCTGTGCTACAAATAAACATTGAATATGGTACTTCATTTTGTTGTGTTATTGTTGTTGACGGTTGCTACGATCTCTCACGATAGTGTCACATTTCCCCGCGAAAAAACACTGTTCTCGCCACTGCGTTGCACCCGTGTATAAGCAGGAACAAACCCTGTTTATTTGTTTTATTCGTTGTTATATCGATCCACTGAAAGGATTCGTCAATGTAAATATAAGGAATGATATTTATTTTTTCAACATTTATGAGGTCATAACAACAATGGGTTTTTGGTCATATTTTACATGAATCGCTAACGCGATTCATTCAATATGTCCATAAACCCATTGTTGTTATGACCTCATAAATGTTGAAAAAATAAAAATCATTCCTTAAATATATATCCCACCTATCCTGGGTGATTAGTGTGATGCATTAGGTTCACTTTTATAACTTTGAGTACTTTTATGGTAGGAAAGTTATATAATAGGAAAAATAATTACCAAATAAAGACAGCATCTCTTACTTTATGAAATTATTTTATTTCCAGTTTATTTCTCTCTAAATCTCTTCCTTGACCTCAGAAATCTTCTCTTAGTGTTGATCTTTCTGTCCAAATTGCACAGGGCAAATAGAAATGTTAAACCTTCACTCAGCACATCACATGTTCATTTCAAGGATAACTGTTTAATAAATATGAAGACTACCTTTCTTTACTCAACACCTAATATGTTAATCCATTAATAGTTTTGTAAAAACCACTGGAAGATTACATGTGACCTTGAAAGTCCTTCAAGACAAAATATTTTGACTCTAGGCATAATGGTTCTGCAAAAGTTGTTTTACCAGAAAACTTGATAATGGATGCTGCAGCAGAACAAGAGCCCCATGGTAATTGGTGACCGGTGAACTAACCAAACACGGTTTTGATATGTTTATATTGTACTTCAAAGTGTTCAGTTACTGATGTTTCCTTTTAAAAGTCATAAAAAGTACTTAAAAGTGCTACATGGTTTATACCCCAAATTAACCAAGTTCACATAGATCCTTTGTTCTATTTTTGGGTATATTAAGGATAAGTGATTCTTCAAGATTTTGTAAAAAAATAAACAAAAGGCTCAAAGAACAAATACAGTTGATGATAGATTGGTAACAGACCATTGCAAAAGATAACAATAAACAAAAAATATATGATCAAACAAAGAATCACTTTAATTTGTATCATTTGTGTGTTCAGTATAACACATACAATGACTCTTTTCAATATAACAGATAGACCTGTATATATGATCCATCAAACATGACCTCCTTTAATAGGACATCAGATATAATACCCTTTAACTCAACCCCTGAAGTAACATTTCAACTCTTCCAAATCAAAGGTTGGAATAGTCCATTATGAAATTTCAGGGGGTAATGACTAAATGAGTAAACGACATTAGATATGACATCTGTTTAATTATAACATCAGACATGATACTGGTGAACAATCAATTACAATTTCACTATAAATAACAAACATTATCTTTCTTGGCAGCAATTACAATCATTTGCGGCTTTTAACAAAAACGTTTCTTAAAGCAATGTTCCATAAAATTATGCAATTAACATTTGAAATTCTTTCAAGTACCTTTAGTTATTACAATACGACAGAAGCCATCACACAAGACAATACTGGTGTATACGTTCTATACATCATACACATTCCGTAAACAGGTAACGGCCACTCAATTGATAGTCAGTCACTCACTCAAGTAAATACTCTCTAAGTCAATAACACATCTGTAATATTTCACAAATGTCTCATACAAATGTTAATTGACAACTTTATCAATACTGTTAATCATGAGCAGAGTTATCCTTCCCTGATCTGAAGGTCACGACCGTATACTGGTGACCTGTCTAAATATGATAATGGTGGGACGACCAAAATATTTGGCCAGTTTATGATATTGGATATCATCATTCTAAATCGATAATTCACTGCATTGATGTAGATATACACTGATATAAGAACAGAAATTAATCAAATTCAATATATTAAATTATAAATATTCAATATTTAATTGTTTTCAATAATTCATCAGTAGACAATGCATATTACATCTCCAACAACGTTTTTGTGTGTTGATCAAGGAGAATGGAAAGGCCAGAATAGTGTCATTTCACAAGGATTCATATAGCAAGGTTGATAAAACAGATGGTTCCCCGAGTAGAGAATCTCTGGACAACACTAGGTTGATGTACCATAACTTGGAAATGCTTATCCTTATTACATATATATGCCTCTTCTGATACACAAAATGTATTCATTTGCAAAGGAGGGGTTTCAATAGTCCATTTCAAATACTTCAATAGCCACCATCTACTTTACATAAAAGCATGTGATATTTAGCACTCATGTGATCAAGTAGTCATGTGATATTTAGCACTTATGTGATCAAGTAGTCATGTGATATGGTCATGTGACTTCAGTTCAATGTGGCACAGTGCTTACTTGTCCCAATACCTTTGTCATTGTCATCTGTGTGTAAGTATGATTGTACCTGTGTATATATTGTTTGGAATCAAGAGAGTTGTATTAACTTGTAGTTTTATGTAGACTGCTGCGAATTTTAGCCGATAAATATTATAATGAGATATTTTTTGCCATATTGAACTTCTTTACAATCATGCACCTTAGACATCTTACTAGTCCTCTGACCAGGCCGGTGAACAAACATAGGTTTGAATGTACTCAAATTGTGCATAATGTACTTTATATCACTAACAAACGTGAAATAAATACTCAGCAAACTTCTTATGATTTGAATGATCATCAAATGAAAAACCTATTTTTCTTCAATTTCCAAGTATGACCTTGGTAAAGCCCTTCCAGCTGACTGTACAACATAGCTTCCAGGTCTATCTGTGCTGATGGTAAAAACTCTCCATATTAAACTGCATACCATCCACTGGTCAATAATTCCTACGTCAAAATGTTGTCAACTTTTAGTAAGTCCAATTACAGATCTGTCTTCCCCGATTCCATCATTATGGCGCTTAGTTCATCATCTAATTTCGTAGCATTTCTTCAATTTGTTCAGATCAGACTGATCGTACACTTCAGATTTCTGATTCTGTAGTCTTGTCAAAATATTTTGAACCCCTGCAATAAAGAAATATCAGATGAATAAATCAATTATCCTAAGACAATTATTGTTAAATTTTAGATTCTATACCTGCTATATATATATTTGAAAAGCACATTTGTTGTTGACCCAATACCACCTCTACAAACATTATGCTCTATGTATTACTGCTTTTCTGTCACCATAACTTTGTATATAAAAAGTGTGTGTTTGTTTTTCAAATGAAAATGTAAGGAATGACTAACATATCAGATCAGGATATGAATTATATTTCCCTCAAACATGTGTACATTGCATAAGAGCCGATGCAAAAAAAAATATAAAAAAAATTGCTAAAGCAAACTGGTAGATAATTTTCTATAAAATGTAAAAGTGGTCCAGGCCTTGGGACCATGAAACAAGAACTCTTAAATACGTTACCCCACTTACCTGATTTTTCTGGCTTTGACATGAACATTGATATCGTCTTGAACCTTTGAACTTTAGACAAGTTTGTCAATATGCTGTAAGCTGTTTCTAGCTCACCTAGGAGTCAAACAAATACAACCAATTATCACTGACTAGTGACACAAAATAATGATGACGCTTTAAATCTCTCAATGTATTTCTTTTTAATATTTCATTTAAAATATAGCTTTCAATTTATCAAAATACTAGGATTATGGCCTCCAAACCAAATAACGATATTTTATTGTGGCAAAATTGACAATCAAGCAAGGTTAGTGGGAGGCATTGGATTAAGATACAACAATGCAGGTGTCTTTTAATAGTTATGTCAAAATTAAGTGGATCTTCAGTAGCTTGTTTGACAGAGCTCTGATGATCGGTCGATGGCGTTCAATGTCAATGATAGAGCAAACATATGTTTTTATAGACCTACACAGCCAGTCAGAACTTTAGAACTGTTCTCATTACAACACGATCAATAATTAATTCCATATAAGGTAACCTCGAGTGATCTCTCACCTGATTCTGTGAACTTTGACTCCAAACACTGTACAATGGTGGTGAGCATCGGACCATCTAGCTTGTTGCTGATCACTGCAAAAAGGAAACACAAACTTTCTACAATTCACCACTAAATATAATCACCAAAGCACTTCATGTATTTTGATCATTTTATAACCATACCAGGGGAATTAGTTACACAACAACTAGATCACACCAAAACACTGGCTTATTGTTAAAACAAAATAATTTTCTTTTTGCACTCTCTTAAATACCCAATATTTCCTCTTAAACCAACTCTGATTTTGATTTTTTACAATACCTGTGACTTCCACTGTGAGAATACTCCTGTTATATCAAAATATAACAATCAGTGTTTTTAACATTTGGTGGAACCCAAAATATATATAGAGAAAAATCTGCATTGCGCTCTATACTTGTACACATTGATAACTCAAATATGAAATCTGATAACAGATCCACGTGTTTCAATATCTGACCTTTAGGTATTTCTGCTGGGGAGATCTGCTTCAGTAAGTCAGCGTAGGGCTGGAGGTCGTCCACTTTCTTCAGGGAGTTCCATGCCTGAATGAATTCATATGGAGTCGCCTTGTCAAGTTTCGGTACACTAGGTGGCACCACCGGTAGTCCTGTACTTGTTGGCTTTATGTTTTTACTTTGGTTTGGCCTCTTTTCAGATTTCTGTGACGTCTTTGATATTCCTGGAGCTAAAAAGAAAACTTTGGTTTTAAGATGTCCAAGTTGTATTGTGTTATTCTAAAGTAAATTTTCTTGTTTTATCTCTTCACCAATTCATATATGCTACACCCTGTAGTAAATTGTGCTGATACAGATAGATCTGTAATGATTACGATAACAACTGTACCTTTATGTTTGCCTGAATCTTTATCAGACGTCTCTATCTCCTCTATAACTATCTTCTTTCCTTTCTTTTCTGTTTTTGTTTCTGGTTTCTTAGGTGAAGCTGCTTGGGTCTTGCTTGCAACTTTCTCTTTTGGACTAAACTTGACCTCAGAACTCTTCACATCTGAGATTTTGACCTTTGAACTGTCCTCCTCCTCGTCTGATTCTGTTTCTTGTATCACCATTCGTTTCCTCTGCTTACCACCGCCAGCTGCTTTGGATGATCCGGCACTTGGTGATGAACTCAAATTGTCCTTCATCTTTTGAAGCTCCTGATTAATAGAAATATGATCCCAATAAATTTATACTGGTTGATGTGTCAAAATCACCCCATTTCACCAGAAGCTGACACACTTCCAATAAGTGAACACAACAATCTAAATCTAACATCTGACCTATCATAAATGGAGAGTTCCTTAAGGCTTTTGTCCTTTTAACTATTTTAATCCAAAACATGTTAAAGGTATTTCTAACTGTTATGATTCCACCCCCTGAATTTTCTGTAATATTCTCACATTATAGTCTACATGGAAATACCAGATGTCACACCCTCCCTTTATATTCTCTGAAATAATTCTATGATACTAGTTTTATTGTCTACAAGTATGTATAAAACTGTCACACCCATTTAACCTATCAGGGTGTGACTCTCACTTTATAGTCTATTAACAGTGTGACTGTCACTTTATAGTCTATTAACAGTGTGACTCTCACTTTATAGTCTATTAACAGTGTGACTCGCACTTTAGTCTATTAACAGTGTGCCTCTCACTTTATAGTTTATTAACAGTGTGACAGTCACTTTAGAGTCTTTTAACAGTGTGACTCTCACTTTAGTCTATTAACAGTGAGACTCTCACTTTACGGTCTATTAAAAGTGTGCCTCTCCCTTTATAGTCTATTAACAGTGATACTCTCACTTTATAGTTTATTAACAGTGTGACTCTCACTTTACGGTCTATTAACAGTGTGACTCTCACTTTATAGTCTATAAACATGTGCAAGACATCACACCACCCCTTACCTCCCAGGTATATAGTTCTAAGACACTTTATAGTCTAGTATGAACACATGTAAAACATCCCATCACCCCTTACATTCCTGTACTTTTAAGACTTATTGTAGACTACATGTATTATACTACTACACCACATCACCCCTTACCTCTTTGGTATAGTTCTAAGACACCTTAGACTCAATAAACATGTGTAAGACCTTCCATCACGCCTTAACTCTCTGGTATAGTTCTAAGACGCCTTAGACTCAATAAACATGGGTAAGACCTTCCATCACCCCTCACCTCTCTGGTTTAGTTCTAAGACCCCTTAGACTCAATAAACATAAGTAACACCTACCATCAAGCCTTACCTCTCTGGTATAGCTCTAAGACAACTAAGACTCTACAAACATGTGGAAGACCTTCCATCACGCCTTAACTCTCTGGTATAGTTCTAAGCCAACTAAGACTCAATAAACATGTGTAATACCTTCCATCACCCCTTTCCTCTCTGGTATAGTTCTAAGCCAACTAAGACTCTACAAACATGTGGAAGACCTTCCATCACCCCTTACCTCTCTGGGATAGTTCTAAGACTCCTTAGACTCTACAAACATGTGTGAGACCTTCCATCACGCCTTAACTCTCTGGTATAGTTCTAAGACGCCTTAGACTCAATAAACATGGGTAAGACCTTCCATCACCCCTCACCTCTCTGGTTTAGTTCTAAGACCCCTTAGACTCAATAAACATTTGTAAGACCTTCCATCACGCCTTAACTCTCTGGTATAGTTCTAAGCCAACTAAGACTCTACAAACATGTGTGAGACCTTCCATCACGCCTTACCTCTCTGGTACAGTTCTAAGACAACTAAGACTCTACAAACATGTTTAAGACCTTCCATCAAGCCTTACCTCTTTGGTATAGTTCTAAGACACCTTAGACCCAATAAACATGTGTAAGACCTTCGATCACCCCTTACCTCTCTGTTATAGTTCTAAGACACCTTAGTCTCAATAAACATGTGTAAGACCTTCCATCGCCCCTTACCTCTCTGGTATAGTTCGAAGACACCTTAGACTCTACAAACATGTGTACGACCTTCCATCACCCCTAACCTCTCTGTTATAGTTCTAAGACACCTTAGTCTCAATAAACATGTGTAAGACCTTCCATCCCCCCTAACCTCTCTGGTATAGTTCTCAGACAACTAAGACTCAATAAACATATGTAAGACCTTCCATCACCTCTTACCTCTCTGGTATAGTTCGAAGACACCTTAGACTCTACAAACATGTGTAAGACCTTCCATCACCCCTAACCTCTCTGGTATAGTTCTAAGACACCTTAGACTCTACAAACATGTGTAAGACCTTCCATCACGCCTTACCTCTCTGGTATAGTTCTAAGACACCTTAGACTCAACAAACATGTGTAAGACATTCCATCACGCCTTACCTCCCTATAGTAATTTTTGACCAGGGTCATCTCCTTCTTAGCTGCGGTGTTTTTGGGGTCTACTTTGAGCAGGTTTGTCAGATCCTCCAGACTGTCTTTGTATTTCTTCAGCATCTTGCGTGCCTGACTACGTCGAAACAGTGCTTTGATGTTGTCGGCCTCCATCTCTAAAGCCTTACTGCAGTCATCCTCGGCACTGGACACCTGAAGAATATTGATCAATAACCAGCCAATCAGAAATTGATCTGCTGTGCCCATTATTTCTTTCAATAGTAAATATTCCCCAATCAGATATACAGATATATACATTTGTATTGCTTTTTTCAGGGGCCCTCTGAATTCTATATTTTCTTCAGTTCAAATGAGGCACACAGGCCTTATCCATAAAGAGCTAGATTAGCTAATAACATTGAATTTTGGTGTTTTTTTTGTTTTCGCTTTTTTTTTTTAGGGGAGAGGTAATCTACCTATAATATGGAGAAAACTGACAAGAGTGTCATTATTCTTGAAATGCTGTAAAATACAGAAATAAACGACAGATTTTTTCAGTTGCACATTTAAATGTACCCAATACTCTTAATGAACTGTAATAAATGTACTTGTACTCTAAAATTTAATACTTTTCAATAGTCCAATTTACTTTCAAATGCAGCGATTGTAATGGCCACAATAAATTTAGGTTACAGAAACGATGGAGACATAAAGGATTTAAGAACACAGAGTGATGTAGACTCCAAAGGGAAGGACAATTATCCTACCTGATTACGTCGCAGGTAACACAGCGCTCTGTTGGTATAACCAACCGTTCTGTCTGGCATCAAACTTATACACTCTGTATACCAGTCTACCGCCTTCACAAAATCTCCCTGTAAAAATACCATCATAAAGTTCAGTTTACAGCTTCAGATACACGCAACAAAAAGTCAGTCTGGTTAGAGAGATCATAAAGTGGAAAAGGCTGACGGTTTAATGTCAACAGATACTTTCACAAATCCAAACACGGCTGACAACTTTTACAGACTACAGATACAACAATTTTTGGAGAAGAAAATGTCTTAACACCTTCAATTTTTAAATGAATTGGGTACAACATTTTAGTTGATGATCTACCTTTTAAACATATAGGCTATTGTTTATTCTGATTTACAATTTATTTTCCTATTTTGGCATAAAATGGTTCACAGTATTTCTGATCCCTGTTTCAACTAGATCATTTAGAACTAAAAGATTACATGGTTTTTACCTTCTGAACACATTTATTGCCTTCTGACTTTGCATTTTCAAATTTCTGTTCTGTTGTAAGTTCTGTCTCTGAAGATGTTGCTGATGAAGATGACGTCGAGGAAGATGAAACTGAAGTTGACACTGAACCCTCAGGTTCTGTAGCTGCTTTTTCATTGGCTGTTGCTATGGGAACACTTTGAGCAGTGGGTGTAGTCACAGATCTATTGACAGGATTCCCTATGGTATCAACTACCAAAGGAACCTCCCAAGCAGAAACAGACTCCAATGGTGGCAGCTTTTCTCTCCATTGTATGCCGTCTTGTTCCCTCAAAGCATTCTGACATCTGAAATAACAACCAATACCTTCTATGACCACTCTGCTGGACGACGTGTTAACATGTTTATCTATATAGCTCCTACTCCTGATGGAGTAAGCATTCTACATCTACAATTTGGCTGAAATATGTCCAACAGTTTGAGAGGAGATGTCATTAAAAGCAAGTCAGCCAATTTGACCCTTTCTGATCCAGTTCCTCAGCCCTGAGGAAGGTCAGCCCCTTTACCTATATAGTTTTGATCCTCATGGCCTAAGGATGCTTGCACTAAAATTTTGTTTAATTCAACTTAGTACTTTGGGAGGAGATGTCATTTAATGTAAAAGTTGATGGACAACTGACGATGGACGTCGGTCAACAGATAAAAGATGACAAATGGAGGACGGATGAAGCACCACTACGTACGTTCACCTTGGCACTTTGTACAAAGTAGGCTAACAACATTCGATCAACTAAATTTAGTTTGATATACACACAACTTTCATCAAATTGAATTTCATTGTAGCATTCCTTATAGCATTAAGAACACAAATACTTCAAAGGGTGTTATTGAGGACTGTTTGCTATGTTATCTGAGAATTGTGATACTTTCTGGTAGTCTGTCCTAAAAGTAGAGCCCAGGAAAGACTACACCAAAATAAATAGTGTCTCATGTCCACAGCGAAGGTAAACGATTTGTTTGAGATTATGAAACAAGCTGTAAGCCTCTCTTAGCTTTTATAGACAAGATTCCAATATCAAAGTAGGAGTGACATATCACTAATTATGAAGGAATCAGCTGTGCTAATGTTTGCAATTTTTTTCCCCAAAATCAATTCCATTTTAACATTTTTAGGTGTAAGACCTGATTTAATTCCAACTTTAAACTTTACCTTGTTGATCCAGTAAAAGCCGATTCCACAGACGGATCGACAGTGAGAACATGTTTGTAGTCCACGTACGCCTCCCGGTATCTAGGCAACAGAAAAAAGCTTCAGGTGTGAAAACTGTCCAAATGCAATTAACAACCGAGATAGAAATAAATGACATATGGTATTGCATTTCTTCACTTCAAAATGTTCATAAAATATCCATGTACTTATGCAGCAGTACATGCAATGTCTTAACTAAAATCATTGGAGCTAAAAGCCAAGTCTAGCTTAGGTCATTGAAATATAGACCAGTGACCAATAGGTACCAATATTTGAGTAATTTGTGTTTACCCTTTTTTAGACGTATCCACGTACTGTATGACATATAATTGCTGAATATAAACATTTGTAGTTTTCATGGTGGCTACGGAACCGGAAATATGAATACAGCTTATTTGTTGATATCCTTGATTACTGTTTGTTCATTCAAGTTGCTCACGATAGTTTGTATGAATTCAAACCATGAAACAAATACCCACGAACTTTTCATGTTATGCAGTATTTTGACAAGAGTTGGAGCTAAACATCAAGTCTAACAAAGACTTTGTATGAACAAACAGACCAACTAATGGAAAAGGCAAACACCTAATGCCATTCACTATGTTATGGGGGCATAAAGAATAACATTTTGACATACTATATTTTAACAGAGTAGTGACTTCCTGATAACAGTATTTTCTTGTTGTTCTTGTTTTCTTCCATTTTATTTAATATGTACATTCATATAGATTACAAATTGAAATGTGGACAATTGATAATTTGACCAGGGCCTGCCATGACATACTGTATAACATGAAATGTTTGTAGGTACTCTCCTTCCTGGTTTGAAACCATTTAGATCGTTTCGTGGTACAGACTTTTGTGGATATCTACATTAACAAACAGTAGACACGTATATCATCCAAATTCCTTTGTATTTATTTCCATGGTTCAATGCATGGCAACCACGAAAACCATGAATGTTTATACACAACAAACATTTCATGTTATACAGTAATCAATATCTAAAGACCCTGATTTAATGCTTGACACAAGTTGCTCCAAAGCTGAGTGTTGAACCAGCCCCAAAAACTATCAGTACACTGTAGTTGAACTGCTGTTTAACACTTAAGACATCTCAGCCCACTGTTGCATTTAAACCCGTGGACAAGCGATAATTTGATCAGGGCCTGCTGTGACATAAACAATATCTACAGACCATGATTGCAACAAGTTGCTACAAGTGTTGATCATTGAGCCAGCTCCTATATAACTACCATCACAGAACTATACACTGGGAGTGTAATTGGTGGTAAACACTTCAGACATCACTGCCTACTGGACTTGTTGTGTTTACACTATTACTAGTATGTAACGGTCATCTAAAATGTCTGTTTACATTATTACAAACTACACCATTGAGTAGGACTGATTACTTTTTTGTCCAATCATCTACTGTTCTTGAGTTGTTTACCTTTCTAGTGTCTCGTAGGCACTACCACGACGTAGAAGTGGTTTGATGGAGTGAGGGACCAGATCTAGGGCCTTCCTGCAGTCCTTGATACTGGCTGAACAGTTTCCTACCTTCAGCTCACAAGCTGCACGGTTGCTGTATAGCAGGGACAGGTTCACTGCCTGGTCTGATTTCACTGTTAAATAAATGTACGTACAGATCAGGCATGTCTTAATAGTCAACTATCACTGTTAAATAAATGTACGTACAGATCAGGCATGTCTTAATAGTCAACTATCAATCAGGCCAGGACAAATACCAAACGTGTTAAAAATGTGTATTAAAGATATTTGTCATTTTTTAAAGAGTATACAGAAAAAGAAACACTGACAAACCTAGGGTGTATTACCTGCTGAATTTAATGTAGAGCAAAAAAATATATATATCAGAATGATATTTAATTTCCCAGATAATAGCATGCATGGAAAATAGCTTTGATATTTGGGTTGTAAAACGTGCCATCACCAAAATCTTATCCTGGTAATAAGTTTATAATACCTACTTGAATCTTGTTTACATTTAATGTTGAATGAACACTTTCCTTTTGTTTATTTTTTAAATCCGTATGATTCTTTTTTCATTTTCACACCATAAACAATTGAATGCCAAGGTTTGGTAAAGATGTGATATTTTTCATCCTCAACAACTCATGACCTCACTGGGGATAAACAAATCAATCACTTACCTATCTCTAGTTTCTCTATGGCAGAGCTATATTTAGAAAGAGCATCACCATACTGCCCACAGCGAAACAGAGTATTTCCAGATTCCCGTAGCGGTGCCACGTTAGATGGCAGCACTGTCTGTACTAAAACTGGCCTCTCTGGTACTTTAGTTGTCACGTTGTTATCCTCGCCTTCAGTAGCCTTTGTCACGTTCTCTGTCTCGCTGTCCACTGTTTTAATGTCCTTTGAGTTAACTTGGGAAACCCCTGCTGAATGCACATGACCTGTGTCTCCTGGACTAGTCCTTTCATCATAATTCTGGTCTAACTTAACATCAGGATTGATCACTTTGTCACCTATTTCACTAGTTTTTTGATCGGAGCTGCTTGTCACTTTGTCACTTCTCTCCTGCTCTGTCACATCTGATGCATTAGGTGACGCTAACCTGTCACACTCTGCAGTCTCACCAGCCAAGCTGTCTCTGTTCTTCCCTGAATTAGTCACTTCACTGCCTTCACCATTTGACACATGATCATCACCTCCAACCCTTTTTTCACTTTTCTCTGCATCACCACACAATGCTTCAGCTGATGAACTTCCATTTATTTGAGGCTGACCTTGTGACTTGTTCACATGGTCTTCAGCTTTCCCGTCTTCTTCCTCTCCTTCGACATCCTCTATCACCATTCTTCGTCCTTTTTCTTTCCTTTGTTTCTTCTCTTCTTCCTCCTCCTTTACCAAAGTTTTCAGTTCATCCAGTAATTCCTATCAAAGAAACAAGATAACACATAACCCCAACGCACAATGCCACATATCCACAATTTAACATCAATCAACCTAACCTAACAAATAGCTACACAAGAAAATGACACAGGCCAGTAGGAGTTTGTCTTCATATATGGCTGACCAATCTTTGCCAAAATATTTACTTTGCATGGGTGAATTTCTCCTGGAGAAAAATTCTCTGAAAATTTCTAATCTGGAAACTTTTAATAATTCCAAAATTTCAACATTTTTCCTGTGTTTTGAGAATTTCCATATTCGTTGCATTATAAAACTTGATCAGATTAGCAAAATCCCTCAGATTTTTAAAGTGTATATAAATCTTATACTGCTAGGAAGAGTGATTGTCATTTTTTATATAACCTTATCATATTTTCTTTCTTTAAATCTCATTTAGTTCAAGTTCCACATGTGAAATAGGCAAACTTTAATTTGTGTTAGTTTTGGAGAGTAAATACAGGACATGATTCTCCAAGTGATCTTCACAATTCTAGCATCATTTTACTCTTCTTGTTAAATCATCACAGATTTAAATATCAATGAGTGTAAAATATCTTGCACATGTCTCAGTCATGTCAGGTTAAATACCTCTGCACGCTTGTTAGCAGGCTCAAGCTCCAACGCTCGCTGGAAGTCGGCTCTGGCCTTTGTATAATCCTTCTTGCCCTTGTAGGCAGATCCTCTGCGGAGAAACGCTAAGACAGATGGAAAATGACAACGTTTATTATACACATCATTTTCATCCTACTATTATCACAGACCTTATAAAAACCTTTCTCCTGCCTCTTTTACATACAAATATTCTCTAATTGTACTTATTTTATCAGAAATCCTACTATCATTTTAATTGTAAAACAAATAGGGTGACAATACTACAACTGTGGACATATAGTTGATCTTTGACAAGGTCATATCAGCACATATTTCAAGTCCCTGACAAAGTCAAATGGGTCCTTATCACAAGTCCCTGACAAAGTCAAATAGGTCCTTATCACATGTCCCCGACAAAGTCAAATGGATCCTTATCAAAAGTCCCTGACAAAGTGACAAAGACAAATGGCTCCTTATCACAAGTCACTGACAAAGTCAAATAGGTCCTTATCACAAGGCCCTGACACAATTAAATGGGTCCTATCACAAGTCCCTGCCACAATTAAATAGGTCCTTATCACAAGCCCCTGACACAATTAAATAGGTCCTTATCACATGTACCTGACAAAGTCAAAAGGGTCCTTATCACATGTCCCCGACAAAGTCAAATGGGTACTTATCACAAGTCGCTGACAAAGTCAAATGGATCCTTATCAAAAGTCCCTGACAAAGTAAAATGGGTCCTTATCACAAGTCCCTGACAAAGTCAAATGGGTCCTCTACACATGTCCGCGACAAAGTCAAATGGGTCCTTATCACAAGTCCCTGACACAATTAAATGGGTCCTTATCACAAGTCCCTGACACAATTAAATAGGTCCTTATCACAAGTCCCTGACAAAGTCAAATGGTCCTTATCACAAGTCCCGGACAAAGTCAAATGGGTCCTTATCACAAGTCACTGACAAAGTCAAATGAGTCCTAATCACAAGTTCCTGACAAAGTCAAATGGGTCCTAATCACAAGTCCCTGACAAAGTCAAATGGGTCCTTATCACAAATCCCTGACAAAGTCAAATGGATCCTTATCACATGTCCCTGACAAAGTCAAATGGGTCCTTATCACAAGTCCCTGACAAAGTGACAAAGACAAATGGGTCCTTATCACAAGTCCCTGACAAAGTCAAATGGTCCTTATCACAAGTCCCGGACAAAATCAAATGGGGCCTTATCACAAGTCCCTGACAAAGTCAAATGGTCCTTATCACAAGTCCCGGACAAAGTCAAATGGGTCCTTATCACAAGTCCCTGACACAATTAAATGGGTCCTTATCACAAGTCCCTGACACAATTAAATAGGTCCTTATCACAAGTCTTTTAACAATGTAAAGCAGATTATTCTGAGAGATTGGGTTCCGTACAAAATAACTGGTGATATCACTGAAAACTGTGCTCCATATCAGAGCTTGACTGTATATTAGTGTTAAGGGTTTATCATCAAACCTTTGATGTTTTCAGGCTCCATATCCAGGACCACTCGACAGTCAAACAAAGCTTTGTCCCATTTCTGTATTTTCAAATCTGTAATAAAAGCAAAAAGAATAAACATTAAGAACCAAAATTAACTTACAATTCAAATGCATAGTGTTTCAATTAACCCCATTGCCATATAGATAGTTGTTTGTAGTTAATTGGAGTATATCAGAAATAAGTTGTCATGGGATAAATTGTGACTGTGACTTGAAATGGTATAAGACACACTTTTCAATCATAAGTACATGAACTATACATTTTTTCACTTACACAAATCATATGGAAATAATTGATCACAATTTACATCCATTTAAATGATTTTATTTTTATGCATAATCTTGAGATTTTAGCCAGAGTATTACATGGGAAAATTGATTACAAGAAAGGATATGAAACACAGTTGATCATCAAAAGCTTTTTGTTTGTTTTGTTTCTCCAGTATGATAATTAAAACATATGTTATTTCACTTTAAAATTACCAAAAAAAGTATTGTCAGCAATCCATAGCCCCCAACCCTCTTCAGACAAATGATGCTATCAAAATGAACGAAGGGCAATACATCTGGGCGTAAGTGGGGCACATAAACTATATTCAGGATGAGACTCTTCGCCATTCCAAGAGGTACTCACATACAAAACTTAGCAATTGTAGGTGACATAGTATAAATACAAGTTATGTCACAAAGTCATTAACAGTGCACAAAGAGTTGTAACTCTGTATAAAGTTGGACAGGACACCTGACTTAAGCACATCATATTCCACCATCCCACAGGAGTTACAGAAATGAAATATTTGACAACTGTAGGTGACAGCACACGCGAGATGAACAAGAGGATATTGACAAAATTTGGCAATTATATGAGACATAGTATATACAGTATGTTACAAAGTCACACAGTGAAACAAGGTCCTTAACTCTATATAAAGATGGGTTTTTCCAAATATTTTCTTCACCTTAATCAGACAAATGACCAGTGAAGCGTTTGTACACAAAGGTGTAAAATATGTACTAATTCTGTCTTTTCGTATTGCAGAGTTATCTTCTCTTGTGAGCAGGCATTGATTGTTACATCATTTGTTTGTGAGAGTAACGTCATCAATTTTTGAGAAAACATCGTAATTTCCTCACACAAACCAATGACGTAACTATCAATACCTGCTCACTAGAGAAGATAACTCTGCAATACGCAAAGACGGAATATGAAGATGATGGGCGATGTACCATACTAGTCAGCAAAACCTTTGTTCAGTATGTAAATGTGCATGAGAACTGGATTACTTTAGGCAACACTTCACCATCCCTGACTGGTTACGAGTGGAGACCTATTGTTTCTGCCAGTAGAACCTGTCTGCAACTTATTTAATAGGGTATTTTATACGCAAGCAACAACATGTACGCTTACATACATCTGCTGTAATTTTGTAAAATTATCAACATAGATTGCAATCATAGTTCCAACATTTTAAATGCATCTAATCCTGCTGTAGAGTTTTTGTGAACACTACAAGATAATCTTACAACACACAACCTACAGGCCAGTGTCACTACCTATAACACACCACCTACAGGCCAGTGTCACTACCTATAACAACACACCACCTACAGGCCAGTGTTACTACATATAATAACACACCACCTACAGGCCAGTGTCACTACATACAACAACACACCACTTACAGGCCAGTGTTACTACCTATAACAACACACCACTTACAGGCCAGTGTCACTACCTATAACAACTCACCACCTACAGCCCAGTGTTACTACATATAACAACACACCACCTACAGGCCAGTGTCACTATCTATAACACACCACCTACGAGTTATCTTCTCTTGTGAGCAGGCATTGATTGTTACAGGCCAGTGTCACTACCTATAACAACACACCACTTACAGGCCAGTGTCACTACCTATAACAACTCCCCACCTACAGGCCAGTGTTACTACATATAATAACACCCCACCTACAGGCCAGTGTCACTACATACAACAACACACCACTTACAGGCTAAAGCCCTGTTGTTGATACATGCTGCTGTCTGCATCAGTGAAATACTGCGGGAATAGTACAAGATGGCCTCCTCGTGGTCCCCAGCTCGGAATGCCTACAAAAATTTGTAACGTAATGAGGTTTTTTTAAAGATATAATTAACACAAGAAATACAAAATCATGAAATATCCAGGAATTAATAACATGTTATACAGACAAACTGTAGGTCAGTTTGAGAAGGTACAAGAAAGCAGTACCCTAAAACAAGGAGTTGTGGTAATGGTTTCTAGGCTTCTATACAGCGGGTCTTAATACAATGGGGATGACGTGTGTATTTCTCAGTTTGTTTTTATAATAAAATTACCACCTATGCCTAAATTCATTTTTAATATGCTCAGGCTGCTATATGCAGCATAATGACATCATCAAAGAATTTTTCTGGGCAAGTTTTCCTTCAACATTTTCAGTCCAAATAGTCACAAATGTTTGATTAAATATGTATATAAAATTTATTCTCATCCCATCAGATTTTCATGAACTTGCTATTTGAGATTTCCTTTTTCTTAAATATAGCTCTTATAAATACATCCTAGGAATTCACACAAAAAGTGATCTCATTCAGTCTTATCCTTGCCTGAATTATTGGTTTTTTTTACTTTTATTTCCCCCCAGCTATTAGTAGAACTTACAACTAATAGCATATTTTGGTTTTATCTCATGTCTGTTCCAGATAGGTTGAAAATTTATTTACAAAATAGGGCATGATTTAACTATTCCAGACTCAGTTCAATGTCCGACAACACTTACTTCATTGCCCTTGTCTTTTTCTCTGGTGGCCTTCATCAACTTCTCTTCATCAGACATGCCTGAAAGGTATCAAATCTATCTATGTCATCCTGTATATACCTTCAACAGTACTCTTGAATAATTCTAGCATTAGAAATTGTAATTGATATAACGTGAAAGCCAAATACTATTCCATTTAAAAAAAAAAAATTGTAATTGGTCTATTAATAAATTCTTATGTTTACTTTTTACAGGGTTGAATAGCACTTTTAAAGTAGTTCAAAGATAACTTCTGTTTGATACACCAACACGTCGAAAGATATCAAGTTTCTTTTTACACTTGAAGTATTTACCTGTAGAGCTGATGTGACGGTCAATATCTGGGGCTTTTGAAACGACGGTCTTCTCTTTCTTCTTATCGCCATCCTCCTCAACCTTCTCTAGTTCTTTGTCTACATCAAACCTGTCGAAAAAGAACAAAACCGTGACAAACACAAGAAAAACAACATATATGCAGGTATAGTGTGTGTGACAAATACAGGTGTAGATTGTGTGTGAAATAACCCTATTTAATATTTCCCTACCTTGAATGTATGAACCTGATGAGTACCGGTAACAACCAAACTCAAGACTTACCAATGGGCTCACAGAATCTTACTGGGATAGTAGCAATTACATGGTTATACCCTCAACAGAAACAGTTATTGTTTTCTCACCTCTAAAAAAGGCACCACTAAAAAGGTAGTTAAGGAGAAAAAGAAAGCTTTGTACCTACCTATAACTAAAATGTGGCATTACCTTACTACTTAATTAATTTACCCATATAAATCAGAGAATAAAATTGAACATACACAAAAGCAATGGACAGACAGCCATGATTGAAAGAACAATTAACGAGTAGAAAGAGTGTCTGGAGGTAAAACTATGTGACTTACTTATCCCATTCCTTCCAGTCTCTTGGTTTTACTCTCTTCTGACTGCTTTTCTTTATCTCTTCTGGCTATTTTCAAAAGAAACACATTTCTCATAAATTTAATGTTTCATTTACATGGAATTTGCAGCATTTTAACAGAACCAATTTTCGGTATAATATTTTTCACTTTTAATATATTCATTAACTTTCACCAAATCTTGTTTTCATTTTGATTAATTGTTATTATGTAAACTTTTACCTCATTGGCTGTTCCGTTGATAGCTGTGCCATTAACAGATGTTACACTAGATCTGATTGGTGGAAGGTCATCGTCATCAAACTCCTCTCCCTTTGCTTTTGACTGGACAACTTTTTTGGAGCTGAATGAATCATCCATATTCTTCATGGTTGAAGTCCAGTCCTAAATAACAGGATTGAATATTTAACAGTATTCATTATAACCATTTAAATGTTATGGCATTTGAACTTATTTGAACTTTGACCTGGATGTGAAGGTCACCATGACCCAGAAGGCAAAATTGCACTGCACATCCATTGTGGAAGATATCTTTAATGAAATAAGTTATGATGTGAGGCGGACAAAGCTTTATTAAAAAATTTGCACAACTTAGGGTAAATGTCACATTGACCTAATTACACTGCACTCAATAACACCTTCAAATCTGTATGACCTCGACTGTTAAAACCCTATACAAAAACAAAATCTGTGGGTTATGCAGGTATTTTCATCAAGACATCTGTAGCTTGAACAAGATGTTATTAAAAAGAACAACAAAAAGAAGAAATCAAAAGAACCAGCACTAATAAAATATGTCCCTTTTTCACTTGAAGGGGAGACATAGTAACAAGTAGTAACAAACAAAATGATATAAATCTCATTCAGTACTCATTCCATATTATACCTAAACCTTGTAGGGAGTTTATCCATCAGAAAATAAACTTCTTATACTTCTGAATTCCTATAAAGATTATTTCTTAAAATAGTAAGTGACTTTGACCTAATCAAACCTTTGACCTAATCAAACTTAAACACAAGCTACTGCTAGCTCAATGTATTGCAGTTAGATGCTGGAATCATACGAAAAAATATCGCTTTTCTGACACAATATGGTTTGAATTGGTTTAGTATTGTTTAACGTCCTATCAACAGCTATGGTCATTTAAGGACAATAATAAAAAAAAACAAGAATTAACCACAACATAATCCACGTAATTGTAGACCCAAGTTGTCAACTTTACAACTGTCAAAACATCTATTCCCTTTCTTTGGCTATTTCTGTCTACGATCAGTTTTAATTTCAAGATATGGTATACAGTATTACCTGCAGTCCTTGGTCAATTTCTTCCCATTCATTCTTTCCTAAATCTGATGATTTCAGTAAAGGATCTGACTTTCTCAATACACGACTGTTGAAGAAATTAAATATTTCATATACTTATAATACTTTTTTCATGTCTAAATTTTAAAACATTGAACATCAAAACATTTTGATGCACTCTTTTAGTCATAAAAGGGTTTGCCAGAATGATAACAAATACTTCATTATCCTCAGGATAAAAAAATTAAATTAATGGATTATTTTGAAATTTTATTGAAATCTGTTTTAAGGTAAGATTCTTAAATCTCACTTATAAATTTGAATCAAGGTATGATTCTTAAATTTCATATCTTTGCACAGAATTTGTCACCCCTAACTCTATATAAGATGGTACCTCTTTGGATTCAACTTTGTCAGTTTTTCTTCACATGTTTTTTCCAGATCAGGGTAGATACCTTCTTCGCCAGATCTGTAACAGAATAAGTACAGCGGTCAATTATCAGTAACCAATAAACATACTGCGATGAGCATCAATTTACTGAGTATTTAAGTTCACTGATTTATATAAAGTGTTTATATTTTTGTTTCATTGTCGTTAATGATGATGGAAATTAAAACATATGTGTTCATAAGCAAAGTGATCTAGTTATAGCAGTGTTGGAATTGAAGTCTTTACCAACAAACACTGAAGACAACTGATATCAAATGTTCTCTGCCTTATGATAAACATTGTTATAATGATTACCTGAGGATTACCAGGATCCTCTCTAGCTCCTTGGTATCTGTACATGTATCAATATACCCGTAGTCCAGATGACCAAGCGGAATGTCATATCTCTTTGTTCTGTCTGCTACTAGCAGGCTGTGCTCCGACATTGCAAGCTTCTGTTACACTGCTTATAATAAAAGATCAAATATATATATAAAAAATCCAGTTTTATATTTTTATGTTTAAAAAGCTTAATTTACTTATTAAGGCTACCACAACATTTTGTGAATTGAATTGGAACACATCAAGTTTAGCGGTCCCTTAGAAATGGTGTTAATTGGTGCTTGTGGATTGCCGCCTAATTATAAGGCGATGCTCTCTAAGTGTGTGCTGGACCCTCTAAAATGAAAATTAAGCCCCATGCAGACACGACTGGTTGTTTAAGAAATTAAGAATGATGTTGCAGCATGAAATGTCAACAAACAGACAGAGATCATCTCATTTGGATATGCTCCATGAAAATGTGTTTGGAAAAGATGGTAACTTACAACAATTATTTGCATGGCCTTTATTTACTCTGAACACACTACAGACTGCCTTGTATCATCATCAGTTAGTTATGTTGGTGTGTGGGTGTTTGTTGAAATCAACCAAATGATGATTTTGTTTTGTAAAGGTAGGTTGTTCTCGGAATCCTTTCTTTATGGGGGCTGCCATCCCAATGGCTTTGGGGTCATTGCAGATATCAAAACCTCTAAAATCACTGAAATTTCAATGGATGTCAAAAAAATATGCATGGAAAAGTCTTGATGACTTCATTTTGTCAGGTACGCAGGTCTGTGACGGTTCAGGTACACAGGTCTGTGACGGTTCAGGTACGCAGGTCTGTGACGGTATATCCAATGAATATTTTACATAGCATTACAGCCAGATACAGACTGCTTCCCTCAGCAATAAAGTGGTTTATTTTGCCCCCAAGATGAAGGAAGCATGAGGAATGTTATCTTGCTTGAAATTTCGCCAGTCCTGAGGGAAGTTTTGATCCTGGAACTGGTCCTGCTCTAGTACTAATATAAATATCCGGCCTCCTCTGGCCCGGCAGGGTATTAAATCGATCCCATGCCTTGTAGAGCTGGCACGATACAATTTAACCACGATTCGATACGTATCTCGATATTTGTACCACGATTACATTATTTCGATTCGATACACCTTTATTTTAAAATATAAACAAAATGAGATATATAAGCCATCAATACACGGTAACCCGAAGTGTTTCCACACTTTTGATTTGAAGCTTGCCGGAGCATCACAAATTTCCATTCCTTACCGTGGTCCGCCATTTTGTTATGAATACTTTGTGAAAAATGTATCATCGCAGCTGATTGGCTGAGGGTTTAGAGATCAGCCAATGAAATTGAACATCTCACAGACGTTTCTGGCTGAGGCGGCATACACTAATATTCAGATTATGACGTATCGAAAATCCGGAAAAATATATCGTGAATCAAATTGAACATAAATAATCGCGGTACAAGTGCATCTCGGTGAATCGTGACGCCTCTAATGCCTTGTCATGGAGCAAGCTTGTTGTGAATCACACCGGGGCGATTTTTGATTTAATTGACAGCACATTGGTCCGCATCCATAAATAGGATTGTAGTATGAACTATTTCTGTTGATATCCTGCACAACTTGAAGTTAAACTCTGTCTAAAATGTCTTTAAATTATCAAGTTAACATAGCAAGCGCAATCGAAATCTGAATTGACCCCCATGTTGGAAATTTCGTCTCTCTTCTGATTAAGGTCAGACTTCTAAATATGGGTGTCATGACCCAATATGGAAATCGTAGTAAACATGGCGGCTTCAGTAGAAATACTATATTTGGCAATGCAGGCCATATATAGAAAGGATAATTGAAAAAAACATCATGCGTGATCTGTCATGGCGGTCGTTTCTATTTTTTCCCCAAGACGGACTTGGTTATTTTGTGAAAGAGGTTTTTTCATAAGTAAGGATTCACTTTTTCAACAATTATGCAATATTTTGATAACATTATATTCATATTAGGCATGAATTATATGTAATCTTACAAATTAACACTTTTGATTTTGCTCCATTAGTTGTCATAGGACCGCTTTGTAGCTCCGACCCCACAATATATATCAAAAGAAAAAATGTCGTCAGAAAGCTACATTATCGCAGCTAGTAATGCTCATGATCAGCGACCCATCATTTTCAAATCAGTGCAAATTTCGTGTGTAGTTCCTATTTTGACAACCATTTGGCCTGAGTCCAACAAATTATAAACATTTCCCATATTTCATTCATCGGTATCTGCTGACTCAGGGTGATAAGTTTATCCTGGGAACTGACCGAGAGCCAACAGATACAGGCCTTTAAATTAGCTGCTTTTCTAAATTCCGCTGTCATCTATACTAGCGGTGTGAGTGGGTCCTATGTGTATTTCTGTGTATATTATGTCGGGTTTGTCTCAGAAGGTACCCAGGAATGGTTACCTTAAACAAAAACCACTATAGGTAAACTGCTACAAAAGTATACACAATTGTTATCGTTAATCGATAAAAATGGACAGTTCTCCGTCTATACATTGAAATATTCTTTTAATGGAACAGCTAGATGTCACTTCCTCAGATCATTGGATAAACTTAAATAAATGAAAGACTGGGGTGGCATTGCGAAAATAGAATTTTCTGGAACCATTTTTTATGGTTTGATATTTCATTATATATGGGAACGACAAAGGAAAATATGGGTTACGGATTGTTGACTGGAACTGATAAAACAGTATCTTGATTTTACCTCATTGTCGATGTGTTTTGTTTGAAGAAAATAAATCAACTTCCCATTTAGTCAAACAATAATTCTTGCAATTGGAATAAGAAACCTGTAGAATGGATGGGAAAACCTTCTTGGAAAGCAAAGAGAAAGCAGTCAAGGTAAAATACAGACTTGATGTAACAGACAAAGCATGTTATCATATTGAGTTGAATATATATGAATGGATATAATTCTCACCCCTCTTAGTGCCAGAAATTGACTTGTGAACTATCAAAATGTAGGAATATTCTATGCAAGACCGTGCGTATCCAAGTCGTGTGGGAAGCGGTGCTGTCTAAACTAATTGCAGTTGGTTAAAATTACGAATTCTTTGTCATATAACGGAAAATATTTGTATTCATTTGAATGCAATTATATCGCACATTTCATGTCAATACCAAAACAATCATTAGATTATTTATACATAATACAAATGCAAATATATTTTTTAGTATATTTCAAGATTTATCAGTATATAAATGATTTATTTTCGTTACATCCGTAACATTTTAACTATCAGCAAATTTTAATTATCTATACGAAATCTCGAAGTTCCTCTCGTTGCACAACGTGAGAACATGGCGACCTCCTATGTGCTTGCACTTTGGGGAATTATTTCTTAATTTACTGAAGACTTCATCCACCAAAATTTTCCAGGTATATCTTCTTCAATGATTTACATAGCAGATTTGTTCCTTTGCAAGTTATAGCTCAATCGGTATAGGATTTTATATATAATTTTAGTTTTAATGTTAACGATAGACGATGAAAGTTCGGAGGATGCAGGAAAACAGGATGTAGTATTTATTTTTGTTTGGTTTACAACATTGAGAATTTTTCTGCATAAACTAAACAATTTACTGCAGTTAAATCAGGTGTGTATGTGCCCGTACGTAGCTTTATCATAAACAGCCAAACACTCACAACAATGAGTCACAGCTAATAATATAATTTTTGTTTCCAACTTTGTCTCGCAGAAATCATCGCGGTATGCCTACCACAGTATAGCTGCTACTTCATTGTGTGTATGGCTTTCAGCAGGTTTGGAAGTCCCTCGATTTTTCAAGACTGTGTTTATATTCGAGAATTTCTTTAGATGTTATGCTTGAATGCACTTCACCTGAGATACTTTCACTTTCCGATATAAGTAATTAGGAAAAAATATTGTATTTCACTTTTATGATTTAAAATCTTTAATATCTTTATGTATTATTAAACAACTTTGGTTGAACACTTATTCTTCTTTTTACTTTTCGGTGGCTTTTGATACATCTATTACCAGGTCCGGGAAAACCACCAACTTACGTATAATACGCAAACTCGCCTATTATACACCGATTGGGGTATGGATTTGTTACTTAAAATAGCCAAAATCACTTTAAGTTTAACTTTTTTCAAATTGTTTGTCCAAGTCGCATTTATTTAGTCATGAAACATGATTCAAATGCAAAAATAAACTTAATTTGCATGTGGGAAAATATCAAAACTAGATGCAATACTTCCGGTAGAGTTACATCAAGTTTCTAATTAAGTCAGCCAACGCTTTCAGTAAAATTTTAGCATAATATTATTTACCTTGTCGTAAATTAATGTGATTTTTAATAAAATATTGCAAAAGTTACTGTTAAAGCGATTTGGGTTATTTTTAGTAACAAATCCATACTCCAACTGGAGTATAATAGGCAAGTTTGCGTATTACGCAAGTTGGTGGTTTTCCCCAACCTGATTATAGGACAAACTTTGGAGGCTTCCAACATTGAGAAGAAGCCAGACCATATATATATAGCAACCATATGTTGTTTATTAACTGTTATAAACAATAAAATTTTAAACAACCTAAAGTTTTGAAATTGAAATCCAAAATTTCTGTTTCTGTTATTCAACAACTGAATTGCATTCAAACATATATAGCAATGTACAGAGGAATCTTGCAAATGCAAGACAGACTTAACTAAAGAGTCACTGGATCCTGTAGTGCCTGGCCATGGCACTAGCTTGTTCTATCAGATTGAATGAAAGACAAAAATCTTATTCCTGTTAATTGCTTGATATGTAAATGCAATTTGTACTGTCTGCAGAAAAAAATCTACATAATTTCTATGTTTCAGTATAAAAAAAAATGTTGATACAAGATAAAAGAGGTTTAGGCACTTGGGAACAAAGAGAAAACATCATAGAAAACATAACAGTATTAACACATATGTACAGTTTTAGAGGGGACAAGAAGACTTTATATATAATGCAAAAATGCAATAATGGGAATCAAACCCAAAATTAGTCAATTTACAGTTAAATAGAATTGATTTAATTTCAGGCCCAATTTTTTCCATATTTTTATGTGAAAAATTCATGCATTGCATTGTACGATACAGGTCGCAGTACAAAATTCTGGTATACACATACAAGGCACTGAATGGAACAGCTCCTCAGTACCTACAGGAACTTGTTACCCTGTATCAGCCGTCAAGATCACTGCGGTCGGAGTCAGAATCTTTGTTGTGTGTCCCAAAATCTCGTACTGTGACCTACGGAAACAGATGCTTTGGGAGGGTTTCGGCTACGTTGTGGCATAGCTTACCATCTGCTATTAGGAAGTCGAATACCCCGGCCAAGTTCAAGAGGGACATAAAAACTCACCTCTTCTTGTCTGCATTTAAGAATCTTTGCAAAGACGTCATGTAAATACCACCCTTTTATTTGTTCAATTATGTGCACATTGCTTGTTAAATGTATGAAAGTGATTGCAAGCCTTTGTTGTTTGTTTTCACAATTATAACCATTACTATTATCCATATGTTGTAAAGCGCCTTAGAGTAATTTTACAAATTATATAGGGCGCTATATAAATGCTGTATATTATTATTATTATTTTATTGCAGTATATACTGTCATGATAAATAGCAAAAGTATTACAATAAATTGAGACACCTATAAAGATATTTCCTTTTAATTTGACACCAGAGATCTTATGAACCTGTACATGCAAAAGAAATCGTCCATAACAACCAGAGGTATATGATATCCAACAGTTGAAAGAGGAATGCATGGCTAGATCAGGATTGTAACCTGCTGTGGCCATAATCCCACTCTAGATCTGGTTCTGCTACATTTTCCCTGCCAAAGTCTCAGACATACAAGGCTTTATAAATACCACCTTCTATGTGTATATATGTAACGGGAGAAAAAGAAATGCATGGCCAGTCATTAAATTATCTTGATTTTTCCAATACCTTATTTTCGTTCACCTTAATATTCCTATAACTAGTGCTGGGTACATTAGAGAAATGAACACCAGTTTCCTTTACCAGAAAACGTGCCGAGATGTCGAAACGTAAGTTGATCGGCGATTCTCTGGCATAGGAATTTGGCTAAACTTTCTTTGTTAACAGTTACCTATTTAATAATACTTTTCACACAAACTCAGGTAACAACACAGTACGTATCAATTGTATCTTTTATTGATGTTTGACATAAATAAATGTGTTGATCGTTGTTTGTCTTTGAGTTCCGTGTACCAAGGGAGATTATCTCTTGTCCAAGATGGTGATCTGTCAGAATCGGCGATCTTTTCATGAAAAAAACCCATTGAAATTGCTTACACCTATGTATTCTGCGCACCCCCCACTTTGGGCATTAAATTTCTCAAAAAAAGGGCGCAAATTACGAGAGTTTTTACGGTAATTTGTTTCCTCTGTTACAGCTTTAACTGTTGACGATGTCCCTGAGGCCACGGCGTGTTGACTTTGACACAACCTGGGTCAACTTACTTGAGACTGTGAAGGGGGTCATCACATGTGCCCAGGTACCTCGAGCTACCTGGAATGACAGATTCTCATATCCTTTAATCAGAAGATATTGTCATGATCACTATTGTTTTTCTCATACCCTGTAATTCATGGGTGCCATTACACCAAATATCAGTGATCAACCCACAAAAATGTGATAGTAGATTATTGTACATGATATACGTTACTATATTAAATTTGTGTCTTGCTATGTCAATACTATCAAGATTTAAACCCATTCCCAATATGATTTTGATTTTTTTCCCAGTTTGTTGAAGAAAAACGTTCTTGATTGTTGACAGGTGTAGATATTAATAACATTGTACATGGTTTACGGTTCTATATTAAATTTGTGTCTGAGGTAAAAATGTTCCTAATTGTTGACTGGTGTAGATATTAATAACATTGAAACATATTGTATCGTGTGTCAGGACAAGTGTACTATATAAAGTACACTAATAGTACACTATATATATAGAGAAATACTATTGGACCTTAACACTGACCACAGATGTATATGCCCTCTGTGTAGCCTGCCCTGAGCCCCTAGGGGACCGGCTCTACCAAGAGACTAAGAACTTCCTTGAGACCCATGTGGAGACACTACATAAGGTAAATGGAAGATGGACAGATGGGTGTAGATGTGGCAGGAGGAAAAGGGGGAGTTATATACAGTTATAAAGGGGATCAGACATATAAAGTGTACTTCATGTAATGGCTATAGGATGAGTTAATATTCCTAGATGAGAGATCATGTATGGTCTGGAGGTACTCCAACAGTGTTAGAGGTGTACACGGCATGTAACTTTTGACAGGCATCACAGTCAGCAAAATCATATCCAATAAAAAAAAAATGGCCGGCCAGCGGCCTCTTATGTTATAGGAGAAGGTCTGGAGGATGATAATAAGGGTAAGAGGCCTAGGCAATCCAAACTTCATATATCAGGTGGGAATGGTGATTTCTCCGGGGTAGATTGTTCGGGTGTTGACGACTTCGCAGCTAATTAATTAGGTCATATGAAAACAATGTCCACATATGATTGGGCTGTGGCCACGCGAGAGCCACTTTAAAGTGCTCTCCGACTGAAACTTGATAACCTGGATAAGGTAGCATAACACCCCACTTGGTCACACTGTACTGACAATCAGCTTACCATTCGTTACTGATGCCCATTTACCATGGTCAAGCTGAAAGTCGAGCAGAGAGCAGTACCAATTTTATGGTTTTTGGTTTGTCTTGATCGGGTTGTCAGTGAGGGGATAACTCATCTAAAGGGGAGTATAAAAGGGGATCTTAAGAGGATAACTCATGTTACTGAAGAAACCTGAGCACAAGAGAAATCCCCAGAATGTATCTCTACTACCTAACATGTGTGGTGGGAAAAGACAGTAGAGACCCCTAGAGGGTATCTCAAACAACAACAAGGCTAAAATGGGATTCATCGTCGAGTGTACCTTAGATAAGAGATGGGTTACAGGATCTTTAGAGGGTACCTCAGTTAAGATTGGGAGGGAAAATGGAATAAATATTTGTTAATAATAAATTAAACTGTTTAGTTAGATACTAGGTACATGTATATAATATTAGGGAATAGGGTTCTGTAAAAAACTGCCAAGCTTTTCAACTCTGAAAAAGGCCAAAATCAATGTGGATGAATTGCAGTTGCAAAACCTGCTGACTTTAGTGTTACATAAATATTAATTCTTTTAAATTCCTAGCTTGATATGAACTTTTTATCAAATCCAGAATGTAGTTGATGGTGGAGAAAAGAACTTCCTGTCATTGTACCACACCCATTGGGTACAATATAGCAAAGGGTCCAGCTTCCTCAACCAGCTGTATGGGTAGGTATTAAAATACTTCTGGAAGGGTCCAGCTTCCTCAACCAGCTGTATGGGTAGGTATAAACTATTACGTGGTATAATACTTCTGAAAGGGGTCCAGCTGTATGGGTAGGTATTATTATACCTCTGAAAGGGGTCCAGCTTCCTCAACCAGCTGTATGGGTAGGTATTATAATAGTCTGGAAGGGTCCAGCTTCCTCAACCAGCTGTATAGGTAGGTATTATTATACCTCTGAAAGGGGTCCAGCTTCCTCAACCAGCTGTATGGGTAGGTATTATAATACTTCTGAAAGGGGTCCAGCTTCCTCAACCAGCTGTATGGGTAGGTATTATAATACTTCTGGAAGGGTCCAGCTTCCTCAACCAGCTGTATAGGTAGGTATTATTATACCTCTGAAAGGGGTCCAGCTTCCTCAACCAGCTGTATGGGTAGGTATTATAATACTTCTGAAAGGGGTCCAGCTTCCTCAACCAGCTGTATGGGTAGGTATTATAATACTTCTGGAAGGGTCCAGCTTCCTCAACCAGCTGTATAGGTAGGTATTATTATACCTCTGAAAAGGGTCCAGCTTCCTCAACCAGCTGTATGGGTAGGTATTATAATACTTCTGAAAGGGTCCAGCTTCCTCAACCAGCTGTATGGGTAGGTATTATAATACTTCTGAAAGGGTCCAGTTTCCTCAACCAGCTGTATGGGTAGGTATTATAATACTTCTGAAAGGGTCCAGCTTCCTCAACCAGCTGTATGGATAGGAATTATTATACTTCTGAAAGGGGTCCAGCTTCCTCAACCAGCTGTATGGGTAGGTATTACAATACTTCTGAAAGGAGTCCAGCTTCCTCAACCAGCTGTATGACTAGGTATTATAATACTTCTGAAAGGGGTCCAGCTTCCTCAACCAGCTGTATGGGTAGGTATTATAATACTTCTGAAAGGGTCCAGCTTCCTCAACCAGCTGTATGGGTAGGAATTACAATACTTCTGAAAGGAGTCCAGCTTCCTCAACCAGCTGTATGGGTAGGTTTTATAATACTTCTGAAAGGGGTCCAGTTTCCTCAACCAGCTGTATGGATACTAGGTTTTGTGTACCTTGGTATTGTCAAAACAAGTGACTGTCTATCTGCGATCGTGTCAGTAAAGGAAAAGAATGTATTTTTTCATTATCCCAGACACATGTTCATTTTACTGACAGGAGATGACATTTTATCTTTTCATTAAATGTGCACAAGCAAGATTGTTATTTTTTTTAATTTTTGCTGTGTTTCTCCACAAGAACTTTTATTCATGACAGTATGTTATGAATTGACTTGGGCAAGACTAGTCTTCACAAATCATACACCTGATTAGTATGTGTGAATACATGAGATAATGTTTGTTTAAAGCATCGTAATGTCTTTTCCACATATTTCTGCATTGCCTGGTATAAAGTTTTCTTGGGGATCAAAAGTTGAAAATCAGTTAGATATCTGATGATGAATATGTGTTTTTCCATCCCTAGATATCTGAACACGACCTATATAAAGAAACAGAAATACAGTGATGCGGACCTCAGCTACGGAGGATTCTCTATTGAGTCGTCCGACCAGATGTTGGAGATCGGGGAGGTAATACGACCTACAGCTTTGTACACTAGGGCCTGCTAGGTTATTAGTCATTTCAACTACAACACCATTGCTAACATGTTACACTTTTAACCTTAAAAAGTTTTTTAGTTATATACATACAGGGTTCGCATCAAGGAAAAATTCTGTGTCGCCAATTGGTTTTGCTATTAAAATGTAACATAGAACAAATGGAAGTATTATTTTGATACAGTTACCAAAATATATTTTGACTTACCTGAGGTAATTGATATATAGATATATATAGCTCTTCGATAGCAGATGGTCAAACTTTTGCAGCTTTATTACTTGGGGTTGTTTAAAATTTGCTCAACACCATTAAAATGGTTAAATAATATCCTTGTACAAATGCTGTCATAGTTTTAGTAACTTTTATTTGAACAGAAAAAATGACAGTTTTGACCAGGCAACTTTTGTGATATTACATATTTGAGATAAATATATAAAAAAAATGATTTCAACTGGCCAAAATTGAACCAGGTGGTTTTTTTTGCCTGCTGTCTGTTCTAATGAAAATTTGGTCAGAAAGGTGACTTATTTGCAGGGTTTATAATTTTGCATATTTTTGAAGCTGCAAACTGTAATCTAGGTACTATCACGTATGTAATAGATATGATTGTTATATACATCTAATATAATCTAGGAACTATCACGTATGTAATAGATATGATTGTTAAAAATGACAAAAAGGCGCCGAAGCTCGAAGTCAGATATGAGACCAATGGGTACATTGTGGAGGCGTTAGGCAGTTTGTTTTGCATTTCAAAAGAAACATATTTATGTCACATGCTGGTATTGAATGACGTCCGCTGTTTATTTTGGACTTATTCATGTATATTTGATGCATCATGGACTTAAATTTGTATAGCTTGCCCTGGACACGTGGAAGCGTCTGATGGTGGAGCCCCTTAAGGATGCACTTGTGCGTCTGATTTTGGTCGATGTATGGCAGGACCGATGTAATGGCACAGTGAACCAGACAATTCTCCATGGCGTCATCAATTCATTTGTGAATGTAGAGGACTACAAAAAGAAACACCCTCTCCAACTGTATGAGGATATATTTGAGAAACCATTCCGGAAGGAGACAGGCGATTACTACAGACAGGAAGCAGCCAAGCTGAAGGATGAGTGTAATTGTTCGGATTACATGGAAAAGGTGAGCTCCATCAAACAACTACTGTAAAGTTGTTAAATTTTGCATGTTTGAATTTTTTCGCAATTTTGTGTCCAGAACTTATTTGCAGGGGATTAATTTTGTGATCCAATTTCTGTAAGTCTATTTCAGAACACCTTGGTTGTTACTACTGTACTGTACGGGGCTAATAGTATCAATGCATGGTTTCTTGTGGCCCACAATATAATAAGACTGATAGATTTATCTATTGTGTATGTCTGATTTTTAAAAAACAAATCTATTCATCTGTTAACTATTTTATATAGTTTACTTCTTACAAAACGATGTTTTGACCTAGTAGCCAGAGCTCAACAGATATCACGGACGGGTGAAGCGTGGATGTTATGACAGTGAACTCAAAATACTCACAAGGGTTTTAATTTTGCAAATTACATAAATTTAAAGAAGAAAACCTTCCATTGTTTTTGTCTTCGTAAAAAAATTGTCTCTTGTTTTGATAGGAGAGCCAGAAAATAAACGCATATTTTGATGGTTATGTCTTTCCAATTATTGTTTTCGTAGGTGATATTGAAATTAGACAATGAGGATTTCCGTAGTCGAAAGTTCCTTCATCCAAGCTCATACAATAAAATCACGTTTGAGTGCCAACAACGTATGGTTGCCGATCACCTACAGTTTCTACATGGAGAATGCAAAGAGATGGTCAAGTTGAAACAAACCAAAGGTAACAATAGTTTCCACAACATGGACAATCTCAATAACTTTGTTATCGAACATGTTTCCAGAAAAGTTCTCGATGCAAAAAGTAATTTTCTTTGCTCGGGATTATGCAGTTTATTTATGAAGTTTGTTTTCCTAGCTTAATTAAGATAATGAGATCAGTGTAGACATTAAAACTAATAACTGTTCCATCACTATGACAAATTAGATCATTTGTATTTGTATTTTCTTTTTCCATTTCTTAGCTTTCCTTCACATAACTCTTCCAAAGGTTGTCAATAATTTTGCTATATAGCGTGAATCAATTCTCAAGTCTATCAATATGTTAATAACACTATGTGTACTAACTTCTGATATCTGTTTATGTGTTTAACAAACTCCACTGACTACTGAAGACTAATTGTTTGTGTATTCCAGACTTGTCTAATATGTACCGACTACTGAAGACTATAATTGTTTGTGTATTCCAGACTTGTCTAATATGTACCGACTACTGAACCTGTATAATTGATTCTGTATTCCAGACTTGTCTAATATGTACCGACTGCTGAAGACTATAATTGATTCTGTATTCCAGACTTGTCTAATATGTACGGACTACTGAACCTGTATAATTGATTCTGTATTCCAGACTTGTCTAATATGTACCGACTACTGAACCTGTATAATTGTTTCTGTATTCCAGACTTGTCTAATATGTACCGTCTACTGAAGCCGATCAACGGTGGACTTGGAGTCCTGATACAGGAAGTTGAGTCACACATTCGGCGGACGGGACTGGAGGCAGTCAAAAACCTTAAGGGTGAAAATGTGAGTTGATCTGCAAAAAAATATCGGTCATTGTCAGGATTTGATTTCTTTTTCATATTCACTGCAAAAATAAACTTTACATTTATTTTTTCACAGTTATATGCAATTTTGACATAAACTTATGATGCATTAAAAATACTTTTTAAGCTGACATATATTTTTTCAATGAATTATAAGGACATTAAAAGCTGTAGCCTTTCCAGCTCTCCTGACTGGTGCTGTAATTCAGTATCTGTGTAGTTTTCATTTAACTTAAAAATCTTTCTTATAGTCGGTAAAAGATGAATATCACCATCAGTATAAATACAATTAAAGTAGCCTTTAAACTTCTTTATACATAGGTAATCACACACTTTGCATGTTTTGTGTATTGTTGTCCAGATACCAGCCCAGTTTGTAGAATCAATGTTGGAGGTCCACAAACATTATACGGAGCTGATACAACAAACATTTCAGACGGACCAACAGTTTGTGGGAGCTCTGGACAAGGTATGTAAATCTTACAAGTGTGTAATGTCCCAGATACACTCATACCCATATATATGGTCTTAGTTTGTGGGGTATATAAATCTTACCAGTGTGTAATGTCCAAGATACACTCATACCCATATATATGATCTTAGTTTGTGGGGTATATAAATCTTACCAGTGTGTAATGTTCAAGATACACTCATACCCATATATATGATCTTAGTTTGTCGGGTATATAAATCTTACCAGTGTGTAATGTCCAAGATACACTCATACCCATATATATGATCTTAGTTTGTGGGAGCCTTAGATAAGGTCATACACATATACCTTACCACAGTTCGTTATACAAATGTTTCACAACATACTGTCATTTTCAATTACATAGTGATATGGAGAAGTTAGAAATATGGATGTTATATGGGTGTGGTCATGAATGAAATAATTTTATGATGTCACATTTTGTAAATGAGGTCATATGTAGGATATTTTTGTATAAGATAAAAAACAATGTATGTGTAGCATTCGGAAAACCAATTTGATGTCGGAACAGAGATAAAGCTCTTGGCAAGCTTAATGTTTTGCCATCAATTAGAAACTCCAGTGTACTTTCCCCTGTCCCTATCCCACACTCAGGAATGATGTAAGAAACAAGGCTTTGTCATGATAGAAAGACCATATTAGAAGAAAAGTATTAGTTTTATCATTGTTATAAGTGATAGCATGTTATTTATGTTACAGGCCTGTGCGGCAGCAATAAATTACCGACACAATCCAAAACACCCGTGTAAATCAGCTGAGCTGGTAAGTAAGAAAAGCACAGCTTTAGTAGTTTATAACATGATATGATCAACTTTCCCACAACAGCAGTGATGATTGATAACTTTTAAGTTTTGCTTGTTATAAAATCAAACCATAAAACATGATTTGCAAAAAAAATGTTATATATGTTGTATATTTACTGTATGCATGTGCTCAGTAGGTTTTCTCGCTGTTGAAATCAGTAGTTGTAAAATGGTTGTTTGGGGGGAAAAAACAGGTTTTAGAAGTGCCCTTCACAAATGCCCCAAACACTGAACGGCTATCTTTTCTTGCTGTCACCTTAATAGGGATGTTAAAGCATTGTAGTAAGCAATAAATATCAAATTGTGAACTGATGATCCCATTTTATATCGACAAATTTTATAATATAAATAGACATGAGGTTCGGCTACAGGCAAGCTTTTTCTTGTGGTGTAACATCTATATATTTCAAGTTATAGAATCATTGACCCATATAAATCATTGATATAAGTATTCAATATGTTAATACTGTAATACATTCAATAAGGTTATGATGAAAATCCAATGATGATGGCGTCATTCCTGTGATAACATTGGATTGGTTGTCTTTTCCAGCTGGCTAAATACTGTGATAACTTACTAAAGAAGAGCTCCAAGGGAATCTCGGAGATGGAGTTGGATGACAAGTTGTCTAGTTGTATCACAGTCTTTAAATATCTGGACGATAAAGATGTTTTCCAACGGGTAAATATTCACATGAGAGTGGTTTTCCCTATAACAAGTATGGGTGTATCAGTCGTCAATGAAATATGCTCATTAAACAAGAATTAATCTCATATACAACAATATTTTATCCTGTGCTTGTAACTTATGTGGCATTACCCGACTGGAAATGTTAATATTATCATCATGACATTCATGATATATAGAGGAGAATTACATATGAGTAAGAATAGTTTCAAGGACTCCTGAATAATTTAACAAATTAAGCCCAAAAGTATTTTTTTCAGTTATGTCAAAATTGACGTGGGTCTTTTATAGACTTCATTCTGTCCGGGTGTTTTTTTCAGTTTTACTCTCGGATGTTGGCCAAGAGGTTAATATTCTCACAGTCTGCCTCCATGGATGCTGAGGAGGCAATGATAAATAAACTCAAGGTAATATCTGAGGTTCCTTCTAAAATATGATACTTCTAATGCTAATGCTGATGGTAATTGGGCAGAACAGTTTCAACTTCTCCTTAGTACTAGACATTGAGATTTTAACGTAAGTTGGAATAAATGTATTTTCTAATGTCAATAACAAATTATCATTTTGGTGGTGGGGGGGAGTGGTTTGATGTGAATATACCGGGGTGTTATATGCAAATACAAATTTACATCACAAATAAGAATTATCTGCAGGCATTGGTTTTTTTTTATTGACTGCTTAATTTTTTTCCTTGATTTTTCAAATTTTGCGTTTCATATGTTGAATTTGACATCATAGTTGTGGTTTCAGTTACAGTAAGTATCTGAGTATCTGACAGACACTAAATTGTCGTCCTGGTGAATTCCTCCTCATGTCTAGGTAGTGAAATAGGTGAAAAGTCCCAGATTACTGTCTACAGTTTCAAGTAGAGAAGAGGCAGATAACCAAATAATTATTGTTGCAATAGTGCATGAAAACATTGAAACACTACAGAATAATCCATGATCTTCTTTTACAGCAAATCTAGAACAAAAACTTTGTATTTTCTGCAACAAGAATGTACATATATATCACCGGAACTTTGTTTTCTTTTTTAATCTCGCAGCAAGCATGCGGGTACGAGTTCACCAATAAGCTGCACCGAATGTTTACAGACATGAGCATCAGCATGGGTCTCAACAACGACTTCAGCGAGTTTAACAGAGGCAAAGATAACAAAGACCTGGGGGTCAACTTCACCATCATGGTCTTACAGGTCCGGATATATCTATTTACTGTCATAGACCTTACCGGATCAAAACTGTTCTTAATATCATAGTTTAAGTTTTATTGTCGAATCGAGAAATTATTGCAAGTTTCAAAACTTTTTGAAATTGCTGATAACATGAAATAAATATAATCATGGTAATTAGGATTTTTGAGAAAACATATACAACACTTGTATTTGAACCCTTGAATCACATAAGTTTTATACTTATGTTTCATAAATTATAGAACTATTGATAACAAAGACTGTTGTTGTAATGTATTTAACCTGTCATTTTTTGAACAAAAGTTTCAATTGGAGAGCGAAAAAATGTAAAACAAAATAAACATTTCCATGTTACACAACTTTTAAACAAGGTACATATTTTTTTGCATAATAATATTTCAGGCGGGAGCTTGGCCTATAGGACAGAGCAACCTTCCAACGTTTGCCATTCCGCAAGAGTTAGAACGAAGTGTTAGAATGGTAGGTGTGACCATTGTCGTAAAGGTTCATGAGCAAAGAAGTTTTTAGTACAAATTTAGCACTTCTTTTGCTGGGTCAAGTTTAATATTAGATTGATATGTTTTGGGTAGGTGAAAAATATTTTTCTTAAAAATTGATAGAATCATATCTCACTGCCAAACATGTAATACATTATGCTTTCATATTTTCTGTTTCAGTTTGAGACATTCTATAATGGAAAATTTAGTGGTAGAAAATTGACATGGATGCATAATTTCTGTAGTGGTAAGTCATTTCCTGCAATTTGTTCTCTTAGTTAGGAATTTTGGAAATTCATCACAAGGTTAAAGTCTTAATAGAAGTAATGAGCATGAATTTCAAGTATTTTCTGAGACTAAAGTAATTTTCGATTTTGAATGACTCTTTTAAACTGCAATTAACTTTAAAAAGATTGATGGAATTTTGCTAAAATTTGTGTAGGATGTGATAGATCAAAAGGGATCTTCATTATCCTTGTCATTTGTTTTTGTCTCGCCACCACGAAGTGGGAGCGAGTCATAGGTGTTGCTTTTCTGGCGACAGCGTCGATGGCAGCGTCAACATTAAGTTTTTGCATTTAAGTTAGTTACTCTGAAAGAATAAGTTCTACACCAACCAAACTTGGACCATGCTTGCATCTTAGGTAGTACATCTCAACCCATGCATCAAAGGCTGGATGCTGTCTTCTTTTCATGGTACATTGACTTTTTCAGCATCTCCATCAATATTAAGTTTTTGCATTTAAGTTAGTTACTCTGAAAGTATAAGTTCTACACCAACCAAACTTGGACCATGCTTGCATCTTAGGTAGTACATCTCAACCCATGCATCAAAGGCTGGATGCAGCCTACCTTTCATGGTCCATTGACTTGTCAGCATTTCCGTCAACATTAACTTTCTTTTGCTTTTAACTTAGTTTCTCAGATATGTGCATTGATGGTCAAAGTGGAACATAGACGAGACATATTATTCTGAATGGCTTGTCTTGTTTTATTTGTAGCTGAATTAAAATTTAACTACTTGAAACGGCCATTCATTGTCACCATGGGAACGTTCCACATGGCCATGTTACTGCTGTTTAACACGTGTGACAGGCTGACCTTCACAGAGCTCATGGAGAACACCAAGTTACCAGAGAAGGAGCTTGTCAAGCAGGTCCAGGGGCTCATCGACACAAAGCTTATTGTTGCTACGGTAACTATTACACTTTTAAACTACAGAATTTCGACTTATTTATGATTTGGTTCCTTCCGTTTCACCACAAAAACGACATGTTTGTAAGGGCTCTTATCACGCAAGTCATATGTGGTTATAGGTTATATATCCAGGGTTTATATAACCAGACAACAATGGGGGGTTAGTTAGCCCTCAGTTAATTACAGTTCTGTTTAATTGGAAAGGCTACGAATATGTTTTGTTAGTGGAATAAGATAGAAATAATCCTATCTTGTCAGTCTTCTGTTGTCATTTCTATGAACATCATTACATAGAACCGTAGAAGTATTGGTGATTCGTTTTTCTGGTTCCCATCATTAACATAATTTGGATGGAAATACATGTTAATAATTATTCTGGAACAAGAATTATACCCCTTTGTTAATCTTTTGATAATGATAGAAAGCTTAATTGAATAATGTATATGTTACCAGGGAGACAAAGGCGACTTATGTCGATGTTCATTTGACCTCAACATGGAGTACACAAATAAACGCACGAAGTTCAAGATTGCCAGCTTAGGTCAACGCGAGTCTCCACAGGTAAGTCAAAGTCCTTGTGATTTTATAGTGAGATTGCTAACCTATGTGATTTACCCAAGACACAATCATTTGAGGAGCCCACGACCTATACAGAGGCAAAAATAAATGGCAAGGAAAGAAGTAATAAGATGCTGTCACGCTGCAGGACCTTTTGGTACCCGTATCATCCTATTGCCACAATGTTACCAAGTCTCTAAAATGAATAATATACAACATTTGATATAGCGCCCTGTCTAGCTAACATAAGCCACTCTAAAGCGCTTTACAGTACATAGATATACAATTTTATGCAGTCAATACTATTAACAGATATATTAATCAATTCAATTTTGAGGAATTCGCAGGATCTGCCTTATCAGACGCTAACTAAAAGACCTATGCCACCTGACTAATATCTCCCTATGTGTGTATGCCTGTGTGTGTGCTGGAGATGTATTGTGTTCTGTTTGTAGTGGGACCGTGCTTCCAACAGTATCATTTATAGTGCCACCTCACTTGAATGCTACAGCACAAGAAAAACACTTTCTCTGAATATTCCATGCGTACGGCGACTTCGGGGATCAAACCCCGGCCGCCTGCTTGGAAGGCCGGAGTGTTAACCACTCGACCAATCTGCCCAAAAATGGGGGAAAAAATGGGGGTAATTTCTGCAAACAAGGTGAACACGCTTTTGCTATAACAATATTTTTACTTCCCTCATGGGTGAATGCAAGTGTTGGGGTTGTAATAATGACTGGAAGTAAAAAAGATATCTGTATTTAGTCTGCCAGGGGATTTCCAGCTTAGATAAATCTCAGTGATGCATGATGCAGAGGTTTGTACTTAAGTTTCTATCTTACCTTGGACTTAACCTTTTTTAAACGGCGGAGCGGGGAGAGTGGGAAACCATAAGTTACACAATTACGACCATACATTAGGACAGAGTGGCAGCCATGAACTTCATGACCGGCCAGTTGATTGAATTCTAGATAACACGGAAAGTCATTGTCAAGCATTTAATGATTTACAACCCCACCACCACACTATTGAGTGTGTCATGGTAATAGCCCACCACCACACTATCGAGTGTGTCATGGTAATACCCCACCACCACACTTTCGAGTAGGTCATGGTTATACCCCACCACCACACTATTGAGTGTGTCATGGTAATACCCCACCACCACACTATCGAGTAGGTCTTAGTAATACCCCTCCACCGCACTATCGAGTAGGTCATGGTAATACCCCACCACCACACTATAGAGTGTGTCATGGTAATACCCCACCACCACACTTTCGAGTAGGTCATGGTAATACCCCACCACCACACTATCGAGTAGGTCTTAGTAATACCCCACCCCCACACTATCGAGTAGGTCATGGTAATACCCCACCACCACGCTATCGAGTGTGTCATGGTAATACCCCACCACCACACTTTCGAGTAGGTCATGGTGATACCCCACCACCACACTATTGAGTGTGTCATGGTAATAGCCCACCACCACACTTTCGAGTGTGTCATGGTAATACCCCACCACCACACTATCGAGTAGGTCTTAGTAATACCCCACCACCACACTATCGAGTAGGTCATGGTAATACCCCACCACCACACTATCGAGTAGGTCATGGTAATACCCCACCACCCCACTATAGAGGGTGTCATGGTAATACCCCACCACCACACTGTAGAGTGTGTCATGGTAATACCCCACCACCACACTATCGAGTGTGTCATGGTAATACCCCACCACCACACTATTGAGTGTTTCATGGTAATACCCCACCACCACACTATCGAGTGTGTCATGGTATTACCCCACCACCACACTATCGAGTGTGTCATGGTAATACCCCACCACCACACTATCGAGTGTGTCATGATTACAGCCCCCTCCCCGGGTCCCCACCACCACCACTGTACAGAAAATATTGGCCCTCTCTCCTTCCTATGTTTAGAGCTTAAGAGAAATTCTCGACATTATCCCTGCATAGGCATACTCTTTTATGCTTAATACATTCAAATGTACAGTCCCATATAGATGTAACAGCTTTGTTCATTTCTCTAACAAGAAAACTACTGAGAGTCAAAACCAATGTTTCCATTAACAGGAAGTAGAAAGTACCCACAATGCTGTAGATGAGGACAGAAAGATGTATCTACAAGCGGCCATTGTCCGAATCATGAAGGCGAGAAAGATACTAAAGCACACTATGTTGATACAGGAGGTACGTAAACATAAACAAACTGATGACGATGTACGTAACATATTGATAAAAAGGAAAAAGTCACTGGCATGAAAAATTGATGATGATGTAAGCAATACTTATATAAAAAGGAAAAAGTCACTGGCATGAAAAATTGATGATGATATACTTAAAAAACTCATTGACCTAAACAATTGATGACAATATATCAAAGTTTTACTTTATACACAAACAATGTATGTATCAAACGTGTCACAACGTTTCAAGACCGACTGGTACCTATGTCAAGTAATGACTGAGTCAGTCAGAGCTTGATAAAGGGACCAGTCGGTCTTGACATGTTGTGACACGTTTGATAGGTACATTGTTTGTGTAAAAAGTAAAACTTTGATATAACATATTTCTAAACTGATGAATCTTATTGAAGATATTTGATGACAACACGTACACAACATATTTATAAAGGCTAATGTGTGTTTATTGTCTCCCCACAGGTGATCAGCCAAGCACGAGCGCGGTTTACACCAAATATTCCTATGATTAAAAAGTGTATAGAAGCATTGATAGACAAACAGTATCTGGAACGGACTCCGAACTCGTCAGACGAGTATCGCTACGTAGCATAGCATCACTTAGCAACATAATTGGGAGGGGTGAGAGGGAGGGACACTGGGTAGTACCATGTGATACTTAGTCGATATAGTGTCTTCACGTTATATCAACTTGTTTTCTGGATTTAGCCAAGGACAGGATGTTCGTGATGGAATGGCTGGAAGGAGTCACGTGATCAGTGTTTATCATGTGATCAGGGTGTCATGTGATATTTGCAAGTAGTCTGTCTGAAAGTGATCATGTTAAACAAATTATTTCAGAGGATGCATACCAGTGTGATGTGAGGATATGTGTTGGTGTTATATATTCATCTTCGCTGGATTACAAAAGCTTCTATACAGAAAAAGTTGTGACATTTTACTACAAATTTAAAACTTTAGTTACTAAATCTAAATCATGGCCTTAGAAATCTTACTCCAATATTTGTATGGAAGGTTGAACAGCTCTGATTTGCCAGAAGGTCTGCATGGAATCTTAAAAAGTCTCACCTGAAACAAATGTTTTCTCATTTTCGAGATGCTGACAGATTTAGCCCAATGATATTTGTTTTCTTTGTAGCAGGCAAAACTTATTTGTAATAACTACTTTAAGTTGTTTCAGAACGAGACTTTTTTTTTTTTTTTTTTTCCGTTACAGCGCTAGACAGTTTTCTTCAGTCCCACTGATAACAATACAGACGACATGACCTAGTTATGACCTGTTGTGGCTGTGACCTATAGTTACGACTTGTGTGTGTTAACATTTATTGTTAAGGTTGACATGTTCGACCTTTGAACTCTTGCTGGAGTCCTGACTTCTAAGTTATATTACAGAACATTTTGTACATGTATATATGCATTTGAAATAAATGCCATTGTTATGCTGACAGTGACATCACGAGACGGATGTGGTTTGTGGTTGATCACTTTGATTAATGTATACCGGGAAATGTTCGCGCTGTCAAACTTTCGGCCTTATGGCAGTAAATGCCCTTCACATTTAATTTCTATGTTAATTATGTTTCATAACGTTATGTTCATTGTTATGATAAATTAACCCTTAGTACTGAGGGTGTAAAAGGTGAAAATTAAACTGCAGTGAATATTTACGCCATACAGTATGCATATAGATCTACTGCCCCCAATATTGCTATAAATGTTTTTCGGTTGATAAACAAATGGAGTTTGTTAGTTTAGTTGAAGCTCAACATGCTGCTATTCTGTCTTTTCGTATTGCAGAGTTATCTGCTCTTGTGAGCAGGTATTGATTGTTACGTCACTAGTTTGTGTGAGAAAATTATGTCGTTTTCTCAAAAGAATTATGACGTTCCTCTCACAATAATATTTATCAAATTATGATACACAATAAACTGTACACAAATTAATAGAATATTATATGCACAACATCCTATACATAACACACTATACAACAAAAGATCCCTCAACAAGAGATCCCTGAGGGATCTTGTCATCTACATAATATGATCTGTGTTAGATCTTTTTGCCTCTTCTTTAACATTAACTATTGGATGAATAAGAAAGTTTATGACTCCCACACAAAACAGCTTTATGGCATTGTTATGCAATGGTTACTACTGAAAATCTACTTCTTTTAGGACATGCACATTTTAGTGCATTACAGATTATAACAGATCAGTGCATCGATGAGTTGGTGTACCAATGTTAAATACAAAAGAAAACAATACACAAAAATGTCACTAGTACAGTCATAATTTAGAGCAGAATGGTAAAGTGCCAATAAGTTCTGAAGTAAGAAAAGTGGTTCAATATACAGTATGAAGGAGAAAATTAACCTCCTTTACCGCCACATCCTCGATTGGATCTACGAGTCAAGCCATATAATATTGTGTCTTAGAGATTAAAATTTGACCAGACCCCGATATTTGTCCTTGTAACCCTGATTCAACAGTAATGGACTCTTAGTGGTCATCTTAAAGATTGCTTCATAATGTATGTTTTGTTACAATGTCTCTATTTAAGGAGATATGCAATATGACCTCTCTGACATTGACCTTTGACTTTGACCCTATAGCCGATGGGCTCTTTGGTTTAAATCCATGCAGTTATAGCTTCATAGTGTTAATATGGAATGTTTAGCAAAAACAGATATGAGCTTTGACCTTTGTAATCTTTACCTTTTTACTTTTTGAGTAGGTGAAATTATGTACTGAATTTTTGAAACATCCTCCCATAAACATATGGCCCTGGGCCAAGTTGCTCAAAAGGTGATTAGCACGAATTTTACTTTTTGTGTATCTTTAATACAACCGTTGAATTAGTTAAAACTTTCCAGATATCAAATATTTAGTAGAGTAAATTTACATGCAAAAAATGTGAGATTTTACCTTGTAAATTGAGGAAATTATTAAAGGTTGAAAAATGTTGTTAAACAGTGATTCAGCTAATCACCTTTAGAACAACTGGACTTCCTGAGAACAAATGATAGCACACGTTACACAAACTGTCATCCACACATTACTGTACACAACAGGCTATACACACATACTCCGGCAATCACAAATAGTATTTTGGAAATTCCATCTTTTATATAAGAATAATTAAGATTGCAGTAATTGAAATTTCTGCATATTATACAGCTTATAATTTAACAATGCACTAATCTGTTATAATGTCACAGTGCACTTAAATAATGATATACAACATTTATATAGGCAGGTTTGCTGTGTATTTGGATAGAACCTGGAATTTTACTGGGTTGGATGACAGTGGTTAGCGCACCCCCTTTCACTAATTATAGATTTTGAGTTTGATATCTGGATTGAAAGTGAAAAGATGAGCGGCCTGATCCCATTGGTTTCCACACATTATTAAGATCCCGTGCCCATATCTGTTTGCATTAATAAGTAATGAATTTGAGTATATATGACTGTTGAAAAAAAAATAGGTGAAGTTTAGTTCTACTGAATCACTGGGGAGGGGACATTTACAGACGCCTCCAAACGAATCGGATGAACTACCATGGTCGCCAGCGGTCCACACATTACAGATACAGTAACATTGTACTGTCTTGAGAATAGTAGCGGCGTGTTTACAGAAGCTGCTGACGTTTCCGTTTTCCGGAAATTGTACACAAAGGTTCTCAAATCGTGAAGAGCATTGCATAAAACATTAGATTTTGTCAACATAACGTATACATTATATGTGAACACGCAGATACCATTCCATTAGTTGACAACTACAAACACCAACTTCAAAACCTGTCGAGTACCTCTCCGGAACATTACATACGCGGCCATAGAACATGGACTAACACGGGTGGTGATACGTTAGTGCCAAATGACCAAAAATAGGTGTGGACTTCATCCCTTAACTTGGTAGTCAAGGCAACCATGTAGTACCGATTATGGCTGAATTTAGAACCTATCTGGCGTCAGATCATAGTTGCTGACAACGATAACCACTGTTTACTAGCCGTTATCAACCAATCGCGGCTTACAAACGTGTCGGAATTACTTGGATACTGGAATAAGTCCAAGGAGGAAATAGGTGGAAGGTTTTCGTTATAACAACCTTTGATATGGATGTGTGCATTGAAATATTCAGGTAAATCTAGAATCAGCGAAAGTGACATTATTCTAATAGGATTCTTTAAAAAAATCTTAATAGTGAAAGGGAAGAACATGACGGATTTGGCCCTGGCGATGACTTGATGGCGACAGGATAGTGTCCAGCTCTTAAATGGGGGTATGTCTGGCAAAAGCTACAGCAGGACCGCCTGTTGCTGTAAAATGATGGCAGAACGTGTAAGAGGGGGTTTTCCCTTAAAAAAAAATGCTTTGAACGACTTGTAACAAACGCCCAAGAACAAAATTCTGGTGGTTAAAATCTGATTGAGGCAATGACGACGAAATCTCCGATGTTTGCTCTGAGTTACCAAGGCCGGCAATCCTTTCTGAATCAATTTATGAGTGCGTGAAAGGAAAACTAGTGACGACAGCCTATTTGAGTATGTCATAGCTTCGATCACTTCTGGCTTGTATCAAAATATAAGCGTTTATCGAACCTGTGAAACACAATGACTTGTCACAGTTTACGTCTCCACAACCTACGTGACACGCTCTCTCTCTTCCATGGTCAGAACTACGCCTGGTTCCTGACATATGTTGCCGTGCTCCACGCAATGGACCAAAACTGTTCAATTCCAAATCACAATCAGAAAAGGAAAACGTTTGCCTAGCAAGTTCTGTCATTCTTTGAAATATTAGGGCTGTCCAAAGGGAATAAAGGAGTGAATACCTAAGTGTGAACAAAGCCGTGATCTGTAGTCAAAACTACAAAACTGATGAAAAAATGGTAAAATATTAGCAAAGGTATAGAACGAATATTCTTTCAAAAAAATACCAGGAAAATAAGACCGAGGTAAACGCCATTTCATCAACGAAACCTGCCATAAACTGGTCAAAAATCCAAATAATGTCACGAACTGGAAAGCTAGGACCGGAGACACCGAAGTCTAAAGGCACACCAATGAACACAACCAAAACCACCGACATACTGGTTAATGGAAGATAATATTTATGAGAGCCTTAAGCCTCACGGTGGTGCTGGTGATTGTGGACATTATAAGGCCTTCTTTACAACTATAATGCGTACTAGACGGTCTAGGTGTACGCACTTTCGACATAGCTGATAGCAATGGTCATCAATTGGACTTCCTTCGTACAACGCAAGACCAGTTTCATTATTGGTGCATTATATTCCTCTTGTTTTACTCAAAATCAACGTCACTGTACAGAAGATGTGATGATATAATCAAATACCGGTTCTTATTGTTCTCGTTGTATACGACCAACCGATATCATTAAAAGTGAGAAATACGTCACGAAAACAAATTTGAAACAGTTTGGGGATTCTTAAATCATTCCACTATTGGTTACAAAAAGAAAATGTGGTGTATCGCTTCATTTGCTCCAATCCCACTGGTCACAGAAGATGCCGTCATGAGGGGCTGGTTAAAGAGTTTGAAAAGGCAGCGAAATGATAGTTCATGCACGAGTGTCTGGAAGGGGAAGAACAATTCTTTGAGCCCATAATAAAAATGAATCTGAAGACATTGATTAAATGAATAAACAACTTACAACCCCCAGGGGAAAACACACTGAATATAAACAACTTACACCCCCCAGGGGGGAAACAAACTGAATATAAACAACTTACACCCCCCAGGGGAAAACACACTGACTATAAACAACGTACAACCCCCAGGGGAAAACACCCTGAATATAAACAACTTACGATCCCCAAGGGGAAAACACACTGAATATAACCAACGTACAACCCCCAGGGGAAAACACACTGACTATAAACAACTTACAACCCTCAGCGGAAAACACACTGAATATAAGCAACTTACAACCCCCAGGGGGCCAACACAATGAAGATAAAAAACTTACAACCCCCAGGGGAAAACACACTGGATATAAACAACTTACAACCCACAGGGGGAAAACACACTGACTATAAACAACTTACAACCCCCATGGGGAAAACACACTGAATATAGACAACTTACAACCCCCAGGGGGCAAACACACTGAATATAAACCACTTCCAACCCCCAGGGGGAAAACCCACTAAATATAAACAACTTACAACACCCAGGGGGAAAACACACTGACTATAAACAACTTACAACCCACAGGGGGAAAACACACTGACTATAAACAACGTACAACCCCCAGGGGAAAACACACTGAATATATACAACTTACAACCCCCAGGTGGAAAACACACTGAATATAACCAACGTACAACCCCCAGGGGAAAACACCCTGAATATAAACAACTTACAGCCCCTAGGGGGAAAACACAATGAATATAAACAACTTACAGCCCCTAGGGGGAAAACACACTAAATATAA